CATATTCATCAGACTGTACACTTAAAATTTGTGCACTTGTCTATTTGATTCATATTTCAGTTAAAAGTTTCTCTAAAAAATAAGAAGGATGTAGAGAAATTGGACTTCTTGTGTACTGCTTGTGGGAATATAAAATTATGCAGCCACTTTGGGAAGCAGTCTAGCAGTTCCTCAAAAGGTTTCTTAAGAAAAAGCTACCATACGATCCAGCAATTCAACTCCTAGGTGAGGTGAGAACACCCAAGAGAACTGAAAACATATGTCCACAGAAAAAGTTGTATGTGAATGTTCGTAATGGCATTATTTAGCTCCTGAGAGCTAAAAAGGAGAAACAGCTCAAATGTACATGAACTGAGACTAGATAACCAAGTGTGCATATCCATATGATGGATTATGATTTAGCCTTAAAAAGGAATGGAGTATTAATACATCCTATAACATAGATGAACTTGAAAACATTATGCTAAGTGAAATAAGGCAGACACAAAAAGCCACATGCTGAATGTGTCCCCATTTATATGAGATGTCCAGAATAAGCAAATCCATAAAGTAAATGCAAAGAGACATGAAGGAAACCAGTGGTTTCCAGGATCTATAAGGAGAGGGCAATGGGGAGTGAGTGCTAATCAATGTAGATTTTTTTTTTTGAATTGCAGTAAAATGTATGTAACATAAAATTTGCCATTCTACCCATTTTTTTTTTAAAGATTTTATTTATTCATTTATTTGAAAGAGAGCACAAGCAAGCAGAGAGAGAGAGAGGAGGAAGCAGGCTCTCCGCCGAGCAGAGAGAGCCCGATGCGGGGCTCGATCCCAGGACCCTGAGATCATGACCTGAGCCGAAGGCAGAGGCTTTAACCCACTGAGCCACCCAGGCACCCGCCATTCTACCCATTTTAAAGTATACAGTGCAGTCTTATTTCTTTTTGATAAAAATGTTCCAGATATAGATAGTGGTGATGGTTGCACTCCTTTGTGAATATACTTAAAAAAAAAAATCCTCAGTTGTACCCGTTAAAAGGGTGACTTTTATGGTATGTTACTTATATCTCAATAGAAAGAGATTTATACTCAACACCCTAGTCATAAGGGCTTGAAAATCAAAACCACGGTGAGCCACCATTAGGGTGGTTATTTCTATGTATATATTTTTTAGGGTGCCTATTTTTGAAAAAAATGGAAAATAACATGGAAAATAAGTGTTGTTAAAAAATAAGTAATTGTTGTTGAGGATATAGAGAAATCCTTGTTCCTTGCCATTAGAAATGTGAAATAGTACAGCTGCTGTGGACACATTTAGTAGTTCCTCAAAAAATTACACATACCTTATGATCCAACAATTCTACCTCTGGGTCTATACCCCAGAGACTTAAAAGCAGGGACTCAAACAGATATTTGTATACCAATGTTCACAGCAGTATTACTCGGCCAAAACCCCGAAACTGCCCAAATACTCATCAGTAGATGAATGATAAAAAAAAATGTGGTACCTACATAGAGTGGAATGGTATTCAGTTTTGGAAAGGAATGAAATTCTGACACCTGCTATAACATGGATGAACCTTGAACTCATTATGCTTAGTGGAATTAGCCAGACACAAAAGAGCAACGTTGTGTGAATCTACTTATACGAGCTATCTAGGATAGGCAGAGTCATAGAGACAGAAAGTAGAACAGAGGTTATCAGGAGCTCAGGGGAGGAGGGGAATGGGGAATTATTATTTAAGGGTTATAGGATTTCTGTTTGGGATGATGAAAAAGTTCTAGACATGGATGGATGATCGTGATGGCTAACTTACAACATTGTGAATGTACTTAATGCCACCGAATTGTGTGGTTAAAATGGTGAATCTTCTGATGCGTATTTTACCACAATTTAAAAAAAAAGAAATAAATGTTGAAGTACTTTTCTCAAGAGGTTCTTATAACCTAGGAATGCTGAGACTTAGAGGATGAAGGGTCTGGACCCTGGAGGAGTGTACGTGTATGTAATGAGTAACCATCGGTCAGCCTTAAAAAAGAAAGATCGTGCCTTTTGTAACAACATGGAGGTACCTGGAGGGTATTATGCTAAGTGATATTTCAGTCAGACAGAGAAAGAGAAATACACTGTGTGACTTCACTTATGTAAGGAATCTAAAACAAGGCAAATAAACAAAAAACAGAAACAGAATCATAAATACAGAAAACAAACTGGTGTCTGCCAGAGGGTAAGTGGGTGGGTGGTGTGGGCGAAACAGGTGCAAGGGCTTAGGATGTACCACATTCCAGTTATACAGTAAATGAGTCATGGAGATGCAAAGTACTGCAGAGAACATAGTCAATAATACTGTAAAAACGGTATGCTGTTACATGGTGTTGTATTATTGTGGTGAGCACGGAGTCATGTATAGAATTGTCCAAGCACTATATTGTTTACCTGAAACTGATAAAACATCGTATGTCAACTATACTTTAATTTTTTAAAAAAGATCATAGAGTCAAGACATGAATGAATTGGGATATTAATGAATGAACGAATGAAGAGCGGACTTGTGTCATATGCCATGATTTAGAATTTTGAAATATGCTTGCTTTGTCATAAGGGCTTTTAAGCTAGCCAGTGTTATTTTTAATGTTTTGAATAGGGAATGCATTTCATTGAAAAAGGAAAGCCGTAAAAGTCTCCCTCCTACCCCTGTTCCCTTTCCAGCTACTTCTCACTAGAATCCCCGCCTCCGCTCCACATACTCACCGTCCTAGTGTCTGGTGTATGCCCTCATGCGTTTTGTTTGCAGATGCAAGTAAATATGAATATATGTGTCCTCGTTCCTTTCTCCCTTTATTTACGCCGTGTAAGCTATTTGCTTTTTGCAAGACTTGGCTACCTCTCTGATGCAAAGTGTACCACAAAGTGAATCCCTGATTGAATTAATTATCTTTCATCTTGGAGAGATTCTTCATGCAGAGAGTTCAGTTTGTTGCTAATTCCATACTGAAATCGAATTTGGGCCAAACTCCAGCTCTGCCAAGTCTTACGTAACAGACAGACGCTGAGCCTTCAACCAGCTGCCATATGTTGTGAGGAGCAAAGCCAGAGGACGGATGCAGATAGTTCCTAAGAGTCAAGTTCCCCAGAACTGGTGGCTCAGTCAGTTAAGTGTCTGCCTTTGGCTCAGGTCATGATCCCAGGGTCCTGAGGAGCCCTGCTTCTCCGGGAGCCTGCTTCTCTCTCTCCCTCTGCCCCTCCCCCTCAACTTGTGCTCTCTCTCACTATCTCCCCCTCTCTCTCAAATAAATAAAGTCCTTTAAAAAAGTCAAGTTCTCGGGGCACCTGGGTGGCTTAGTTGGTTAAGCAGCTGCTTTCAGCACAGGTCATGATCCTGGAGTCCAGGGATCGAGTCCTGCATCGGGCTCCCAGCCCACGGGGAGTCTGCTTCTCCCTCTGACCTTCTCCCCTGTCGTGCTCTCTCTCACTCTCTCTCTCTCTCTCTCTCAAATAAATAAATAAAATCTTTAAAAAAAAAAAAACAGTCAAGTTTTCACTCTCAAAATCTCTAGGGGGAAGAAACCAGCATATATTAATATATATATGTTATACAGATCATATATATATTATACAGATAATATATATATAATTAATATATATTTTTAAATACTTAAATGTGTACATATGTTTGGGAGGTAGGATATGAGCCTCTTTGAGCTTATCCACCAGAGTGGAAATAATGTCTGTATAAAAACAAATGTTTGGGGGCACCTGGGTGGCTCAGTGTGTTAAGCCTCTGCCTTCGGCTCAGGTCATGGTCTCAGGGTCCTGGGATCAAGCCCCACATTGGGCTCTCTGCTCAGCAGGGAACCTGCTTCCCCCTCTCTCTCTGCCCGCCTCTGTGCCACTTGTGATCTCTCTCTCTGTCAAATAAATAAATAAAATCTTAAAACAAAAACCAAAAAAACAAATGTTTGTTACTATGACTTCTGCATCACAGTTAAAATCCAGTCCACTCAATCAAAATCCACTGGTTCAAAATCAATACTTCTTTGAAGCCACAGTAACACTTAAAAAAAGTTAAGACTCAAAAGCAGAAATTTGGTTGGTTGGAGGGTTAATTTAACTTCCCGCTTGCTCAAATAGAATGACAAAAGGACAAAACTGTGTTTTTCGCAGAGATGGAGTTCATGGCCTCACCAGCTCTGGACAGCTGTCGGAGGGTTTGGTCCTGAAATCGTCAGGACTCCAGGCACCCTTTAGACAGTTTTCTGTCGTCCTTTCTCCCCAGTCAGAGATTTGTGGATATGTGGAGTGACACCACCCCCACCCGTAGCCTTGGTGAGAGAGGCTGGTTCTTCATCTCCACAGAGAGCGAGCTGCTTTACCTTTAAGTCTTGGGATGCCTTTCCTGCCCGGCAGAGCCCCTCTGCAGTGAGATCCTTACTCTGGGATGGTCCTACATGGGTAGTGTTCGTGATTCTTCATCCTGGATTTCAGATGCCCGTGAATATGGCCCACCGGGAAGTGCAGGCCGGCTCTCTGTGAGGGGAACTGCCTTTTTCTTGGCCTTTCCCAAGTTCTTCCCAGCCTTACCGCCAGCCACTTTGAGTTCAGCTGCAGCTCAAGCAGGCGAGGCAGAGAAAGGCCAGTCAGGCAGCTGGAGAGATCCCACCACCTACTCCTTCATCATACCACCATTCAAACTGCTAAAAATAGGGATGTAAATATATAGATTAACAAAAGGCTATGATGTGTCATGCTCCTTCAGAAAACACTCTTCTTTCTCCTCCTAGTTAGAAGTATCAGAAAAGTACATACCAGAATATTTATTTAAGGTGCTTCCTGGAATGGTTCTACTTAGTGCTCCCTGAGGGTAAAGCTGGGGAGGAACTCCAGAGACCTGCTGGGAGGAGGAGGAAGGCAGCTGGGAGAAGGGTTTGTCTCTCCATGAAGTAGGACTGTAGACAGGGCATATGCCCCTTCTCTGGAGCTTGCTGATTTTGTCTCGCCTTTCTTTTTTCCTCCCCAGGTACTGGCGGAGAACGCTGGGGATGCAGGTCCGCTACGTTTACCATGAAGACTACCAGTTCTGTTACTCCTTCCGGGGCAGGCCTGGGCACAAACCATCCATCCTCATGCTCCATGGGTTCTCTGCACACAAGGATATGTGGCTTAGCGTGGTCAAGGTGCGATTCTAGGTTCTTCTCTCTCAACGGAGTGTCACTCAGTAAAGAAAAGGGTGTCCACTTGAATGTGACGTCCTCAGCAATGATGAAAAGCCAAGGGAACCCAGAACTGTGGCTCAACTCATCTGAAAACTAATTCAGCATAGGGGTGCCTGGCTGGCTCACTCAGTAGAGCACGCGACTCTAGCCCTCAGGGATTGTGAGTTCAAGCCCCGTGTTGGGTGTGGAGCTTCCTTAAAAACACACACACGCAGATACACACAAACTAATGTGGTATACAGTTAAGCCTTGAACAACATGGGTATTAAGGGAGCCCATGCACGATGCAGTCAAAAATTCATGTATAGCTCTTTTGCTCCCCCCCAAATTTAACTATGAATAGTCTACTGTTGACCAGAAGCCTTAACAATAACATAAATGGTCAATTAACACATATTTTGTATGTCATATGTATTGTATACTGTATTCTTACAATAAAATAAACTAGAGAAAAGAAAATGTTATTAAGAAAATCAGGGGTGCCTGGGTGACTCAATTGGTTAAGCATCTGCCTTCGGCTCAGGTCATGATCCCCAGGTCCTGGGATCAAGGCCCACGCCAGGTACCCTGCTTGGCAGGGAGCCTGCTTCTCCCTCTCTCTCTCTCTGTCTTCTCCCTTAGAGAGAGAGGAAGAAGCAGAGGGAGCCTGCTGCTCCCCCTGCCTGTGTGTGCTCTCTGTCTCTCTCAAATAAATAAATAAAGTAAAATAAAAAAGAAAAAATCATAAGGAAGAGAAAATACATGTACTGCGCTGTATGGAAAAAAAAATCCGCGTCTAAGTGGACCTGCATGGTTCCATCCCATGTTGTTTGAGGGTCAACTGTATTATTTGAATCCTTTTGTCAGACAAAAGTTACTGAATTCAATGTTATTTGTAAAATCTGCACCTTAGAGATCATTTCACCATACAAATATTTCTTAGGGAAAGTTTCTGACACTCAACTTCCTCTAGAACTTGTCATGACGATCAAGATCGGGTTTAGCAAAATCACTTGTTCTTTCTTATTCCAGTGTTTCCTCTTCCTTCCCTCATCCCCCTTTTTGTTGTTCTTCTCCCTTCCCCTCCCTCCTCCTACTTCTGTTTTTCGCTCTTGTTTTTGTGTTTTAATTTTCCTGAGTCATTTAGAGAGACTCTCTTGATCTGACGCTCTCTGAGGTAGTTTTCTAAATCCCTCACCTCTGTCCTGGTTTCCTTGGGTGTGGCAACTTGCTCTGCTTGATAAGTGACCAGCTGGTACAGGTTGGGCCTGGGAGAGGTCTTGGGAAGAACGAGCCCCAGCCTCCCACCTCAAGCAGAACCATACCTGAATGATTCCAAGTAGGACCTACACTAGGGGGAAAAGGTTCACCCATCCTATAGTTACTTCTGTTCTCACTCCCAAATTCCACTGTAAGGACAGTCATCCTCATGCCTGAAGGAACCTCTCACTTCCCGGCCCACCTCAGATGTTTTTGGTGTAACTGGTATTTGTGTATTGATAACACATGTTTCTCAGCTTCTGCTTAAAAGTGGCACAAATAGGGGCGCCTGGGTGGCTCAGTGGGTTAAAGCCTCTGCCTTCGGCTCAGGTCATGATCCCAGGGTCCTGGGATCAAGCCCCGCATCGGGCTCTCTGCTCAGCAGGGAGCCTGCTTCCCTTCCCCTCTCTCTGCCTGCCTCTCCGCATCGGGCTCTCTGCTCAGCAGGGAGCCTGCTTCCCTTCCCCTCTCTCTGCCTGCCTCTCCGCCTACTTGTAATCTCTGTCAAATAAATAAATAAAATCTTTCAAAAAAAAAATTAAAAAAAAAAAAAAGAAAGAGCAAGAGACTCAAGCCTGCTACCCCAACCTTTGTCTCCCTCTTCCCCCCTTTTCCAGACACCTCCTGAGTCCCCTCTCATCTTTGTATTGGTCTTTGAGGGCCTTGGCTCCCTTGAGGCTCCTGGCAGTGCTTACTCACATCAGATGTAACTAGGATAAGACACTGGGTAGCCTAGACCCATACATCCCCAGGGATGGCTGTCCAGGTCACTTGGTAAGTGAGGGCGACCTCCCTAGAAGAATGGACAGACATGTCCTGCACACCACAGCCTGACTCTCTGCACCTGTGTGTCCCTAGTTCCTTCCAAAGAACCTGCACTTGGTCTGCGTGGACATGCCAGGACATGAGGGCACCACCCGATCCTCCCTGGATGATCTGTCCATAGATGGACAAGTAAAGAGGATACACCAGGTAAGCAGGAGGCTCTGCCGAAGATTGCTGAGACTGTGTCTTACCCACCTCGCGTGCCCAAATCTGGAGAGCAAGGAAGAGCGTTGCATGCTGACTTATAACCAGCCTTCAGTGCATTCTGACTGCAGATATTTGCACACAAAATGGCACCCCAGTGTTGGGGCACCTGGGTGGCTCAGTGGGTTAAGCCTCTGCCTTCGGCTCGGGTCATGATCTTAGGGTCCTGGGATCGAGCCCTGCATTGGGCTCTCTGCTCAGCGGGGAGCCTACTTCCCCCCTCTCTTTCTCTGCCTGCCTCTCTGCCTACTTGTGATCTCTCTCTCTCTCTCTCTCTGTCTGTCAAATAAATAAATAAATAAATAAAATCTTAAAAAAAAAAAAAAAATGGCACACCAGTGATATCACTGGTCAGCTCTGAAGGACCAGGACCTACGGCAGACTGTTCTGGAAGCCTGCTTTAGTTACTTCTCAAGAAATAGGATATGGACATTTTTTTTAGCTCTTTGAAAAAGGAGTTTAGAATTCTCAAGACCATTTCCCTAGAGTCTATTTTTTTTGCTTACACCTACATGACACAACATAATGATAGCCCCTCTGCCTAGTTGTGGAGGATGGGGACAGTGCTCTTTGCATTTTGTTCTATTTTAGCATCTAGCTTCAGCCTCTCTCTGACTGGGCTTTCAAGGTCATGGGGCTTATGAACCACTTCAGAATTTAGTAATCTGTAAGTTACAGATAGGCATTATGAATTTTCCCCAGACGAGGTTGTTTATTTAATGTCTGCGCCCAGCCTAACCCCCTTTAAAGTGTGTATTCTGATGAAGTCAGGGACCTTGTCTTTTGGGGTCTTTGCTGTATCCTCAGGAGCTGACCATAGTTCCTTATACATAATAGATATCCATTAAATATTTTTTTAGATGGGTGGATGGTTGATGGAGTGGTGGGATGAACAGTTAGACGGTTGAATAGACAGGTGGATTATTATATGAAATGGGTGGATGGGTGGGAAGGGCTTTAAATGTAGGGCAAGAGTCAGCAAACCCTGGTTGGCCTGCAACTATATTTGTAAGCTAGGTTTTCTTGGAATATAACCATGCTCATTCATTTACATATTGCCTCTGGCCGCTTTTGTGTTACAATACTAGAGCTGAGTAGTTGCAACAGAGAACCTATGACCCAGAAGGCAAAAAATATATTTTCCTTGGGACCTTTGTTTAAAAAAAAAGTTTGCTGGCTCATGAGTTAGGGGAATCCTTGTCAATTTTATACTTATAAATGACCCTTCAATGACCTGTGCCAGGTAAAGAGGATTATGTAAAAGGATTATATGCCACAGGGTTTGTCTGGATAATGGATCTAGTAGATTTTAGGGGTGTTCCGCTGTGTAATCAGTTTTGTTATTGTCTGTAGCTTTCTGACCAAACCTCCTTCTCATTTCCCTCCCTAGTTTGTAGAATGCCTCAAGCTGAACAAAAAACCTTTCCACCTGATAGGCACCTCCATGGGTGGCCACGTGGCTGGAGTCTATGCTGCTTACTACCCATCAGATGTCTGCAGCCTTTCTCTTGTGTGCCCTGCTGGTAAGTTACAAGGCTGCAATAGCCCTGTGTGTGACTTGAGCACGGAGGGGTCTGAATCTCTGAGGAGCCAGTGCCGTGCCTGCGCTGTCTTGTAGCATCATGTTTTCAGTGTCTACTTTAGAGAGATGCAATGCTTTAGTGATAACGAACCAACGGTAATTGTATAACCATAATCATAACCTTCCTAACTTTTAAAATCTAGAGCCAGCCTTGTTCCACAAAGGATTTAAGGCAGTTAATTAAAATGTGTTTAGTACTCGGGGCGCCTGGGTGGCTCAGTGGGTTAAAGCCTCTGCTTTCGGCTCAGGTCATGATCTCAGGGTCCTGAGATCAAGCCCCGCATCAGGCTCTCTGCTCAGCAGGGAGCCTGCTTCTCCCTTCTCTCTCTGCCTGCCTCTCTGCCTACTTGTGATCTTTCTCTCTGTCAAATAAATAAATAAAATCTTTAAAAAAAAAAAGTGTTTAATACTTTGCAGCATATAAATACTTTGAAGTACAATGATAATATTAACATCCAACATATTTTTTTTTAAGATTTTATTTATTTGAAAGAGAGAGAGTGAGCAGGGGAAGAGCCGAGGGAGAGGGATAAACATACTCCACGCTCAGAATGGAGCCCAATGTGGGCTCCAATCCCATGACCCTGAGGTCATGACCTGAGCTGTAACCAAGAGTCAGAGCTCAACTGACTGAGCCACCCAGGCGCCCCTAACATCCAACATTTATTGAGCTCTTACGAGCTAAGGTCTTTATATGGATTTAATTCTTGCCATATCCTTATAAGATGAAAGTACTCTTATTATAACTTTTTTCCTTTTCTGCTGAAAACTCAGTAATCTTGATACATGACAAGGTGTTTGTTTTTTTTTTTAGAAATCAACAAACTTTAATTTCTGTGTTTTTATGTATATACATGTCAACTTGGGCTGTAATATGTCTCCAGAAATTACAATTTGAAGTTAAGCTTTTTAAAGGATTTTATTGGGAGGGGAAAAAAAGATTGTATTTTTTTAAGTAATCTCTACATCCGGTGTGGGGCTCAGACTTAATCCCAAGATCAAGAGTCACATAGTCCACTGACTGAGTCAGCCAGGCACCCCTGAAGTTGGATTTTTAAAATTCATTTTTATTATAGAAGTCTTCAAATTTGGATTTATAATGTGTTAGAGAGAAAAATCTTAATTTTCTTTTTCCTTCTCCTGTTTCCTTCTTCCTCCCTCTGGTACTTTATTGGATTTTGATTTACACACAGTATATCACCCAAATCTTAAGTGTACATCTCAAGGACTTTTTTCATGGGTAATTACTATCCAGATCAAGGGAGTATGCCCATTTTATAGGTGGGAACATTGAGGTAGAAAGAAATTACATTTCTGCTGGAGCTATGATAGGAATGGATCCTAGGCTCTCTGACTCTAGAACCCAAACTGGGGCTTTTTAGAAATCGTTTATTGTCCACTACCTCTTACATGTCACTCTTACGCTCTACCTCCTTTATCTGCTAGAACCTGCTGTCACACCTTCTACTGAAACCTAACTAAATTGACCTTTTAAAATCTTTTAGTCACCGGGGCGCCTGGGTGGCTCAGTGGGTTAAAGCCTCTGCCTTCGGCTCGGGTCATGATCCCAGGGTCCTGGGATCGAGTCCCACATCGGGCTCTCTGCTCAGCAGGGAGCCTGCTTCCTCCTCTCTCTCCCTGCCTGCCTCTCTGACGACTTGTGATCTCTGTCTGTCAAATAAATAAATAAAATCTTTTTTAAAAAATAAAGTAAAATCTTTTAGTCACCAAAATCGCTTTCATGTCTGTTGAGGACATTGAAATTGAAACTCCCAAAGCGGGGTGCCTGGATGGCTCAGTGGGTTAAAGTCTCTGCCTTCGGCTCAGGTCTTGATCCCAGGGTCCTGGGATCAAGCCCTGAATTGGGCTCCCTGCTCAGCAGGGAGCCTGCTTCCCGGCCAACCCTGCCTGCCTCTCTGCCTACTTGTGATCTCTGTTAAATAAATAAAATCTTAAAAAAAAAAAAAAAAACCCACCTCATTTGGTCTTTTAGTTATAGAGGTTAAGAATCAGAGAAACAGCTCCTATGGAAGTTATTAGGAAGGTCAAATCTAACTGGCTTTTTTGAATGTATGTTTATTTCCTCAGAGAAGAGTTTCACACCTAAGTTTCAATGGGAAATTTAAAATTAAGATTATTTGGGGGCAGCTGGGTGGCTCAGTCAGTTAAGCATCTGACTCTTGATTTCAGCTTAGGTCATGGTCTTGAGATTGAGCCCCGCATCTGGGTCTGCACTGAGTGTGGAGCCTTCTTAAGATTCTCTCTCTCCTTCTCCCCCTGCCCCTCCTTCCCACTCATGCACCTAATTAATTAATTGATTAAAAATAAATTAAGATTGCATGTGGAAATGAAAAGATAAGCTTTTTTACTTTGAAATAGTTTTAAATTTATAGAAATGTTGCAAAGATAATACAGAGAGTCCCATAGACCTTTCACCCAGCTTCCCCTGTTGTTAATGGCGCACCTTACCACAGTAAATTTGTCACAGCTAAGAGACCAACACTGGTACAGCACTATTAACTGAACTCTAGTCTCTGTTTGGATTTCATCCGTTTTTCCACTAATGTGCTATTTCTGTTCCAGGCTCCAATCCAGGATATCACATGACATTTAATCTAGGATTATTTTTAAAGTGAAAGGAAATAGATCATGTAATCTGCACCATGGCATCACGAAAGCCACATGATGCTTGTGCTCACTTTAAAGGAACTGCTGAATGTAGGAGATTTATAAAGTGTGGGTTTCTGCAGCACAGTACTGAAGTCACTGTCTTTCTTTGTGAAATGTAGCTCGTGAGCTAAGTGAAACACCTAGACTTTTGCTCAGTACTGGAAGTGAAAATGAGTTTTGCCCTCCCGTGCACATGAGCTCGTGTGAATTCTCTCGTGTCTTGCCCCAGGGAGATAGGAAACAATGGCCAGTCTTAAAGGTATTTGGTCTCAGTGGGCACCTAATGCTGTCTGGAGAAAGAGTGGCTTTGCACAGGGCAGCTACTGCCCCATCATGGGGGACAGCTCACAAGGGGTCTCTTCCTCCCTGTGGTTTATGTATTAACCCCAAAAAAGAGATTGCTAAGTGGCTCCAGTCCAAGGGAAGGAGGCGTTGATCACTCCAGTCCTATGTTCTCTTCCCATAATGTATTTTATCAGTTCTCCTCTTCGTGATACGGATGTGAAGGGGCTTGGGCAAGTTGTCTTCTAGACTGATCTTTTTTTTTTCTTTCTTTTTTTAAAAAAGATTTTATTTATCCATTTGAGAGAGAGAGAGAGAGAGCATGAGAGGGGAGAAGGTCAGAGGGAGAAGCAGACTTCCCATGGAGCTGGGAGCCCGATGCGGGACTCAATCTCGGGACTCCGGGATCATGACCTGAGCCAAAGGCAGTCGCTTAACCAACTGAGCCACCCAGTGCCCCTAGACTGATGCTTCTTAAACTCTATCATACATGTGCCTCCCCAGCAGCTTGTTCAAGTGCAGATTCAGATTCAAGAGACTTTGGAAGGGGACTGGGATTCTGCATTTCCTACGGCTTCCACTGCTGCTGGTCCGTGGACCACAGTTTGAGTAACCAGTCCCTAAACCATCCTGAAGGAGTCTTTTTCTGTGTTTCTCAGAGTGGGATTTTGACTTTGAGCAAGGATGGCAATACCATTGAAAAAGAAATCTGGTGAAAAACACCTGAAATATGTTAGCTCTGGGCTGCTATTGGAAGTTTCCTATATAATAATAGGAGTTGGTAAGAAGGTAGCTACATTGCCAAGCTGTTTTGGTTTGAATCCCGCAGGCCTGCAGTACTCAACTGATAATCAATTTGTACAGCGGCTCAAAGAACTGCAGGACTCGGCCGCCATGGAGAAGATCCCCTTGATCCCATCCACTCCAGAAGAGATGAGTGAAATGCTCCAGCTCTGCTCCTACGTCCGCTTCAAGGTGCCCCAGCAGGTACCGTGCTCCAGCAGCAAGATGTCTGTCCTCTGCCAAAGGCTCAGGCGGCCAGCTGGTGCCCTTCCAGCTGGAGGACCTTCCCTCTCATCATCCTCTATGTAGTCATTTGGCGGCTGTCTGTCCTGTGCCTGTGGCAGGTCAGGCATGGTGTTTGGGCACAGTGGTGAAGAAAGAAGACAGAGGAGGGACCTGGGCAGACGCAAGCCAGTGCGGGAGACAGATGGCTAATGAGTAAACATATCTGTACACATGGTGATAAGTCCTGTGGAGGAGATGAAGATGGTATAGTGACTGAAAGCAGGGAGGCAGGGAAGACTTTGACAAGCCCTTCTGAGGAGCTAGTGTGGGCAGAGGTGGGAAAAACATAGGTAAGTTCAAGGGAAGGAGGAGGCCGGGGGGCCTGGCACTATCTAGAGCAAGAGTAGGGGAGGGAGGCAAGGGCTACAGCGGAGACTTGTTTCTTTTTCTTTTCTCTTTTTTTCTTTTCTCTTCTTTCTTTTTTTTTTTTTAATCTCAGGACTGCTTTACACACCTAAGAATTGCTAAGAATCCCAAAGAGCCTTTATTTGTAGAGGTTCTGACTATTGCTATTTACCATATCAGAAAATAAAACTCAGAAGAAGGTAAGACACAAGAGCATACGGGCCCTCATTCCATGAGCTACCAGCGTCATGACGCTGTCCCTTGACAGGTAGTCTCTGAGGAACAGTGCTTCTGAGAGCATGAAAGTGAAGCAGGCAAGTAACATGCAGCATTACAGAGGAACTAGCTTGACCTCATGAACCCCAGGAGCCGCTTGGAGAACCACGGGGCTAGATCACGTAGCACCTTCCAGGTTTTGGGAAGGAGCCTGGAGTTCTCCTAAGAGGGACCATGGGAGGCACAAACCAAAGCAGAGAACCAGTGGGGTGCTCCCATGGCCTGGTGAGGACAGTGGTGTAGACGAGGGTGGTGGCAGTGGAGACTAGAGACCCGAGCCGCTCTGGGAGGGATGATGGGCAGGCCTTACTGGCAAATTGGCAGTGGGGGATGAGAGGCAGCGAGGACACCCAGGTGACTTCAGTGCTTGAGTTGGATAAAGGCAGCAGTTTCTGAGTAGGGGAAGGAAAGAGGGAGGACAGGTGCTGGGGACAAGCTAAGGGCTCCAGTTTGGCCGTGGTCAGGTTGCATGTGAGGCCTCCGGGTGCGGATGTCAAGCAGATGGTTGCATATGCAGACGCTGCTGAGGGACGTCTGGCCCGGAGCTGTGCGATTAGAGCCATCGGCCAGGATGATGTGAAAGGTCGCAGGCTGAATAAAGCCGGGAAATCCAGGGAGGTGGTGTGGGAACCAAGAGACGAGAATGCATGGCTAAATTTCGTAACGGCAGCCAATCTCTTTGTAGTGTAGGAACTGGACCCTGCCTCCTTCTAGAAGTTGAGGGAGTGGGCTGTATGCAGAAGGCCTGAACACGACTCAGTTAGTGGGTGTAGAAGCACCCAGAATCTGATTCTGTGGTACGTTCTATCCCTGAAATCATTTTAGTTGTGAGGTTGCACTGATCCCGTCCCAGCCATGCTCTCTGCCGAGAAGAGTGGCCAACCAGTGCTTTAGGACATTCTATGTTGTAAGCTGGCGGGAATGTGAAAACACTGGGAGAAAGCAAGCGGCAGCTCTCGAAGTCTTCCCTCCTAGGAGACCAGGAGCACCCGAGCACTCTGTGTCATGTTATGTTTATCTGTTTACTTGCCTGTGTCTTCCACTCTGACCTCAGTAAGATCAAGGATTTTGTCTTACCTGCCTGCCCTGTCCGCAGCCTTTTGCACAGTGCTTGTATGAAATAGGTCCTCGGAACAATCTGGGGGGGTCAGAGGGAGGGAGGATGCCCGGATGATGCAGAGGTGGAGAATGGATGTGCCGTGGAGCTGATGGACGCATGAGTTGTTGCATGTACATGCACAGGTGATTTCGGGATGCAGGAGAGATGAAGGGCTGAGTACTTGGATGGATGGGAGGATGCCTGGAGAACACAGGGGCGGAAGGCAGGTGGATTGGCGGATGCAGGATAGAGGGGTGTATCAGTAGACATGCATGAGTGATTCAGGGATGGAGGGTGGCCGGATGGATGGATGGATGTCTGCATGAAGCAGGGATGGAGGATGGTGGATGGGCAGGTGCAAGGCAGGTGGGTGCATAGAGAGATACATGCACACACGAGTCAGAGATGCAAGACGGGAGCTGGGTGGGTAGAGCAGAAGTAGAGGATGCAAGACGGATACGTGTGCGGGTGCAGGATACAGAGTAGAGCAAACAGAATGGCTGATGCCAAGCGCAGTGTGTTGGACGACTTGCCGTTGGTCTCCCCTCCAGGATTTCGCTTCTAGAATGGTCGCTTTCCTAGCCGTGCTACGGTTGGTTCCGAGCAGTTCTGGCCGGATTTTCCCCTTCAGAGCACAGGATTCCTCAGTGTGCATGTGAGGGGCTCAGATCATTCCCAGGTAGATGAGAGGAGTGCCAGCGCTAAGGGGATCCTGCAGCAGGAGGAAGAGGAGGGCTTTGTTCCTTCCTCCCACAGCCAGTCTCTGGGTCAGGATCCGGGGTCCAGGAGATCGGCCTGCCCACACTGGTGCAACCTTCACCAGCCCTCCAAAAGGAAAGCAAAGATAACACTAAATAATAAACAAAGGACTGGGGAACCCATCCCGGAATTGTTTAAATAGTTAATCTCTATTGTTCAAGAGCCCCGTCATCCCCAATAATTGGATTTTTTTTTAAATTTTTTTAAAGATTTTATTTATTTATTTGACAGAGAGAGATCACAAGTAGGCAGAGAGAGAGGCAGAGAGAGAGGAAGGGAAGCAGGCTCCCTGCCTAGCAGAGAGCCCGATGTGGGACTCGATCCCAGGACCCTGAGATCATGACCTGAGCCGAAGGCAGAGGCTTCAACCCACTGAGCCACCCAGGTGCCCCATTGATTTTTTTTTTTAATAGACCTTGTTCTGTGTGTGGATGTTCCTAAACATTTCCTTGGTACTATTTCCAACTCCATCGTATCTTAGGCTAAGCAGAGAATATCTCAAGATAAAGTGGCTGTGAGTCCAGGTCAGGTTTTTTACAGGCTTTGGCTTCCCAGTATTACCTGGGTTCCTCCCTAATTACAAAGGAAAACCATCAGATGACCCTAACTTCCAATTACAGTGTATACTCCGTGGTGGAAATATGGAGCCGTGGGCCCTAAAACCTTGACAGTGCCTTACGTTGCCGGACTTCATTTCCTTCACTGTCCCGGAGCCACGGGGGGCTTGAGGAAACACTGTCTCTTGCCTTCTAACCATGGCTCCCTTCTCCGTAGATCCTGCAAGGCCTTGTTGACGTCCGTATTCCTCATAACAACTTCTACCGAAAGCGTAAGTAGCTGTGTTTAAGCTTGCTTGTGACCAGTGACGCTTTATGGGCAGCTGGCTTCTATATTTTACATTCCTGAGACTTTGATCATTGTCTGGGGCGTCTAAAGACAGAAGGTGGCAGCCCGACTCCATGGCTGTCCCCAAACTCAGTAGAGTCCGGATGCCTGCTGGCACAGCCCAGCGTGTGCTCACTTTGTTTTCCTTTTCTGCAAAGTGTTTTTGGAAATCGTCAGTGAGAAGTCGAGATACTCCCTCCATCAGAACATGGACAAGATCAAGGTCCCAACGCAGATCATTTGGGGGAAACAAGACCAGGTATGTAGCGAGCGTGTCCCTGGGGCACTTGTCCCTGTAGCGTGTAGCAAGTGTGTCCCTTTGCCAGCTACACTGGCCTCTGAGAAAAAGCAAGAGGTGATTTATCAAGTGAGCCTCACTGGCTGGTTTCTGATACCAGGAGGATGTAAAACACACCTGGGGCAGATGCTGGTGATTATAGAGGGCAGCATTCTCTTGCGTTGAGAGCAGTGGTGTTGATCTTTTAAAATGAAAGGCAATCAGGGCTTCTGGGTAGCTCAGTCGTTAAGCTGCTGTCTTCAGCTCAGGTCATGATCCCAGGGTCCTGGGATCGAGTTCTGCATCAGGCTCTTTGCTTGGCAGGGAGCCTGCTTCTCCCTCTCCCTCTGCCCTCCCCCCCCCCATGCTTGCTGTCTCTCTCTCTCTAATAAATAAATAAAAACCTTAAGGGCACTTGGGTGGCTCAGTCAGTTAAGCATCTGCCCTCAGCTCACATCATGATCTTGGAGTCCTGGAATCGAGTCCTGCATCAGGCTCCACGCTCAACAGAGTCTGCTTCCTCCCTCCAACCCTTCACCCTCTCATGTTCTTTCTCTCTCTCACTCTGTCTCTCACGAATAAATAAATCTTTTAAAAGTTTTAAAAATCTTAAAAAAATAAAGTAAATAAAATGAACGGCAATCTTAAATAATTTTTACAAACTACTTTAATCAAAGGCATGTAGTCTCAGAGTACAAAAAACTTTACAGAGGGACTCCTGGGGGGGCTCAGTCAGTTAAGCATCAGCCTTCAGCTCAGGTCATGATCCCAGGGACCTGGGACCCAGCCCCATTTCGGGGCTCCCTGCTCAGCAGGGAGCCTGCTTCTCTTCCCTTCCCCCTGCTCATGCTTGCTTTCTCTCTTTCTTGCTCTCAAATAAAATCGTTTAAAAAAAAAAAACTTTAAAGAGTACAAAAAGGTTTGTAATGAAAATTCGATCCCTTTTCCATCCCAGATCCCAGTTCCTTGAGGAAGCTCTTGCTGTCTTGTGAACCTTTCTTCCATTTTTCTAAGGCAGGGATTGACATGTTTTCTGTGAAGGGCAAGATGGCAAATATTTTTTACTTTATGGGTCCTACTATTTCTGTTGCAACTCCCAAGCTCTACTGTTGTGCAAAAGTAGCCACGGACAGTACAGAAACAAGTGGCATGGCAGAGTGCCAGCAAACCTTCATTCCCGCCAACCGGCAGTGGGCCATTGTCCGCTCACTGCTGTGCTGAGCATACCTGTTTCTGCATAGATCCGTTGTATCTATAAAGTTTTCAAACATGCATAGTGACACTGTTCACATTACTTCATATAGGTGTGAACTGATGTATCTTGGAAATCATTTCATACCAGCCCACACAGATTTACTCATTCTATTTTTTTAATTTTTTTTTTTTACTGACTTTTATTAATATGTTTGGGTAAGTTTTTATATTCCTACACAAAAATGACATGACCAGTGGTTAAATCCTTTTTTTAAAGATTTAAAAAAAAATTTTCTTTCTTTCTTTTTTTTTTTTTTTTATTAGGCAAAGAGAGGAAGGGGCAAAGGGAAAGGGGGAGAGGGAATCTTGAGCAGGCTCCACACGCAGCACAGAGCCTGATGTGGGGCTCACTCACAATCCTGAGATCATGACAGGAGCTGAAATGAAGAATTGGGCACTAAACTGACTGAGCCACCCAGGTGCCCCAAGATTTTTTAAAATTTTAATTCCAGTTAGTTAACATACGGTGTTATAGGAGTTCCAGGTGAACAATACAGTGATTCAGCACTTCCATACAACAGTGCTCATATGAAAGTGCTCATCACACGGGTCCTCCTTAATCCCCATCCCCAATTTTACCCCTCCCCCCACTTCCCCTCTGGTAACCATCAGTTCGTTTTCTACAGTTTAGAGTCTGTTTTTTGGGTTGTCTCTCTTTTATCCTTTGTTCATTTGTTTTGTTTCTTAAATTCCACATATGAGTGAAATCATATGGTGTCTGTCTTTTTTGACTGACTTTCTTCACTTAGTATAATACTCTCTATCTAGCTCCATTCACATCATTGCAAAAGGCAAGATTTCATTCTTTCTTATGGCTGAGCAATATTGTATATATCTCCTACATCTTCTTTATCCATTCATCAATCAGTGGACACTTGGGCTGTTTCCACATCTTGGCTACTGTAAATAATGCTGCTGTAGACATACGGGTGCATGTATCCCTTAGAATTAGTGTTTCGTTTTTGTTTGTTTGTTTTTTTAATTTATTTATTTGACAGAGGCCACAAGTAGGCAGAGAGGCAGGCAGAGAAGATTGGGGGTAAGCAGGCTCCCCGCTGAGCAGAGAGCCCGACATGGGGCTCGATCCCAGGACCCTGAGATCATGAACTGAGCCGAAGGCAGAGGCATTAACCCACTGAGCCACCCAGGTGCCCCATCTCACTTTTAATATTTTATTTTGAAATAATTTCAAATATATAGAAAAATAAGAAGATGAGCACAGAGTATTCTTATATACACTTTCCCTAAATCCATCCATTTTCCCTAAATCCATCCATTCCCTAAATCCAATACCTTTATTGAGGTATCATCTACCTACCATCAAATTCACCTAGCTGGGCACCCTGCCACAACCCAGTTGTAGAGCATTTCTGTCACTCCCCAGAGTTCCCTCCTGCCCATTTCCAGTAAATCCCAGCCCCACACAACCACAGATCTGTCTTCTATTTCTACGGTTTTACCTTTTCCTGAACTTTCACAGAAATGCTGTCATGTAATAGGTCGTCTTTGGTATCTGGCTCTCTTCGCTTGGGTGTTGTGTTCTTGAGGTTCTTTTGTGGAGCTACCTGTCTGAGTAGTTTGTTTCCTCTATGGCTGAGTGTCATTCCATGGGATATGTCTACCGTGTTTTATTTATTACCAATTTTTAAACATTTGCTGCATTGGCTTTATTAAACATTCTCATCTATCTATCTATCTGTCTATATTTGGGACCATTCAAAATAGTTGCTTACATTGTGCCCTTTACCCCCAATACTTCAGGGTTTATTTACTGAGAGTAAGAATATTCTGTCACATAACCACAGTGTATTGTTACATTCAGGACGTTTAATGCTGGTGTGATGTTTTTGTCTAATCTACTGCCCGTATTCCAAATTCATGGGTGGGGCGCCTGGGTGGCTCAGTCAGTTAAGCGTCTGCCTTTGGCTTAGGTCATGATCCCCCAAGGTCCTGGGATCGAGTCCTGCATCAGGCTCCTTGCTCAGCAGGATACCTGCTTCTCCCTCTGCCTCTGCCTGCCACTCCCTCTACCTCTGCCTGCCGCTCCCCTACTTGTGTTCTCTTTCTCTCTCTCTGACAAATAAATAATTTTTTTTTTTTAATGAAATAATACCTCAGTGAACTTCAGCATAGATGTGTGGTTGTGGAGTGTGAGACCATACCTGAAAGGTGAGTTCTCCAGTATGGACTCCCTGGGTCACAGAGTGGGTACATTTTATTTTATTTTATTTTAGATTTAATTTATTCATTTGTCAGAGAGAGAGCAAGAGAGCACAAGCAAGGGGAGCAGAAGGCAGAGGAAGAAGCAGGCTCCCTGCTGAGCAGGAAGCCGGATGCAGGATTTGATCCCAGGACCCAGAGATTATGACCTGAGCCGAAGGCAGATGCTTAGCCTACTGAGCCACCCAGGCATCCTGAGCAGGTGCATTTTTTTTTTTTTAAAGACTTTATTTATTTATTTGACAGAGAGAGATCACTAGTAGACAGAGAAGCAGGCAGAGAGAGAGAGGGAAGCAGACTCCCTGCTGAGCAGGGAGCCCGATGCGGGACTCGATCCCAGGACCCTGAGATCATGACCTGAGCCGAAGGCAGCGGCTTAACCCACTGAGCCACCCAGGCGCCCCGAGCAGGTGCATTTTAAAATTGTAACAGGTTTTGGGGACACCTGGCTGGCCCAGTTGGTAGAGCATACAACTGTTGATCTCAGCGTCATGAGTTCAAGCCCTATGTTGAGTATAGAGCTCACTTAAAAAAATTTTTTTTCTTTAAATAATAAAATCTTAATAGATTTTTATTAGATAACTCTGTATTATTTTGCTGGAACAGTCATAGCAAAGTACCACAAACTGGGTGGCCTAAATAACAGATATTGGTCATCTTAAAGTTTTAGAGGTTAGAAGTCCAAGATCAAGTTGTCCACAGTTTGGTTCCTCCTGGGGGCTGTCAGAGAATCTGTACCACGCCTCTTCCCAGCTTCTGGCGGTTTGCTGACAGTCTTTGTGTTCCTTGGCTAATAGATGTGTCATGCTGCCGACTGCCTCCATCCCCACGCAGCATTCTCCCTGTGCCTATGTGCCTCTCTGTTCAGATTTTCTTTTCTATGTTTAAATTTTTCTAAGGCTGGCAGTCATATCGGGTGAGAGGTCCACCTGTACCAGTATGACCTCATCTTAACTAATTACATTTGCAACAACTCTATTTCTAAATAAAGTCACCTTTGTATTGGAGGTTCAAACTTCAAAATACGAATTTTAGACGGGGGACACAAGCAATGACAGACTCTCCAAAGAGAGACTGGTTTATACCCCAGAAGCTCCTTTTTTACTTGCAGCAGTTCTTTAGAAATCATATCTTACTCAAAGTTGTTGTTGTCGTTGTCGTCGTTGTTGTTCTTCTTTTTAAGATTTTATTTATTTATTTGAGAGAGAGAGGGAAAGCACAGAGGGAGAGGGAGAAGCAGATTCCCTGCTAAGCAGGGAGTCTGATGTGGGGCTCTATCCCAGAACCCTGGGATCATGACCTGAGCCAAAGGCAGACACTTAACTGATGAGCCACCCAGGTGCCCCAAAGTTCTTCTAAAGTTTAAAGCAAGAAGAGGGGCGCCTGGGTGGCTCAGTCGGTTAAGCATCTGCCTTCAGCTCAGGCCATGATCCCAGGGTCCTGGGATTGAGCCCTGAATCACATCAGGCTCCCTGATCAGTGGGGAGTCTGCTTCTCCCTCTCCATTTGCCATCTGCCTCCTCCCTCCGCTCATGCTCTCTGTCTCTCTCTCTCTTTCAAATAATTTTTTTTTTTTTAAGGCAAGAAGAGGCAATGAGAAATGGAGCCTTTATAAGGCCCATGATGATCCGTGGGGAGAAGCAGCCAGCACTGTGTCCCCAGGGTGTCTAGGGAGGGACTGGTGACGGAGTCAGTGTATAGCTCTCCCAAACCAGCCGGGTACAGCCGAGGATGTAGGGTGCAGTGATGTGGGCATGGTGAGGAGGGCGGACTCTTTGCTCCCTTCTGCAGCAGCCAAGGGACTAAAAGGAGCTTGGTGTGCACCTGAGTAGAGAAGCGGACACGGAGTAGGCCAGCAGGGCTTAGTCAATCAGAAATCAAGTTAGAACAATGAAGGCCTTTCTTCAGTCTAAAAATCCCAAAGGTGATTTGGGGCTCTCAGGGACCAACACAGAGAGGCAAGGACTCATTGCCCTGCCCTGCGGAGACAAAGCAGAAGCAAGATCTCTGGGCTTAGACTCTGAAAATTCTGGGTTCCAGCCCTGCCTTTGCTCTGTATCAGCCCATGACCTTGAGCAAACCACTCAGCTGCTCCAGATCCTGGGTTTCTCTTCTACTACTGAGGTGATATGAGGCTCACGTGAAGCAACACACATGAGGGAGATCTTTCTCCAGTGATAAGAAAATACATTACTTATTACTCATGTCCTTTGCCTCTGAGAGTAGGCCTCTGCCTATGGTCCAGAATTTTTTCCAGGACTCTGAAGTCCATTTTGTTCTGAAAAAAGAGCCTAACATTCCATGGATCTACTATAAATATGAACAAATCATCTCTGTGTTCTATGGACCATCCCCAGTGCAAAATCCAAAGAGCAAAGCCTTTAGGGGCTCTTTATTTTATGCCCTTTTGCTTCCCAAGCATCTGGCTCTTTTCCTGTTCTGTTGTCAGCATTTGGGGTCACCAACCCATGCCCACCAGGCTGAATTCAGCCTCCCTCTTCTTTGGACCCCAGTAGGTCAGCCACTGTGCTGTACAGCTGCAGGAGAGCTGTGTGCATTGTTGTCTATGTGAATCATGCCCACTGATTTTGGGCAGTATACAGCCTGCATAACTGAACCTGGCAGTCCTCCTTCCTAAGAGGATTTCTGCACATCAGTTCAAGTATTCCCCCTCTGTCTTCAGTCCACCAGAATGGGAGGGCCTTGTGAAGATATACAAGGTCTGTTACTCTTTATGTCCCTTCATCCTGCCACCACAGTGCCTGGGATACAGGAGACCCAGAGTATACAGTGAGGGAGTGAGCCAGCAAGCAAGGAAATAAATAAACAACCTAGCAAAGGAACAAAGCCACCAGCTGGCGGCCTATACATTTAAGTCAGCTAACAGATTTATACTGAGCACCTGGTATGTGCCTGACACTGTGGCAGGCCCTGGGGTTACAGTGGGCACCAAGACAGGATCCCCGAGCTCCAGCAAATCCTGATCTACCTGCCATTATAATGCCTGGCAGAATGTGAACTAGTGTGAGGTAGGTCATATGAGTGCAGGGTCGGATCCTGTCTTTATATTTTGTTCATGGTGGGTCTTTTTGCATTAATGTCTGTTTTTTTAAATACTGCATTAAAATAATCTCCATCTTAATTACCGAGTTTTTTGGAGGCTGCTTAAATTGTGTGCCCAAGGCAAGTGCCTCACTTCCCCCACCCTAGTCTTGGCCCTGGCCTGAAGTGGGATGGAGGAAAATTGTTTTGACTATCTTCGTGAGTGTCTTGCGCAAGAAAGAGCTGATGTGGTTCCCATAGACGTGTGTACCGGTTGAGTGTCCATATAGCTATTTCCTGTATGTCTGAGTGACCATGAGGAGTCCTAGATTTGACCAGCCTGACAGTGTCAAAGCTAGAGGCTCATGTGGGCAGCTATGGGTTCTGACCTCTCTGCAAGATAGACATTCAGTTGGGAGTTTCTACTTTTTCATGCCTTGACCCATTGACACCACCTGCATTTCCTCTGGGGATCTTTCTTTCTTTCTTTCTGTCTTTTTTTAAGATTGTATTTATTTATTTGACTGACAGAGAGACAGTGGGAGGGGGAACACAACCAAAGGGAGTGGGAGAGGGAGAAGCAGGCCTCCCCGCTGAACAGGGAGCCCAATGAAGGACTCGATCCCAGGACCCTGGGTTCATGACCCGAGCCGAAGGCAGATGTTTAATGACTGAGCCACCCAGGCGCCCCTCCTCTGGAGATTTTTCTACAGACGCTGGGCTTTATTTCTGTGCAGTTGCCACAGCAGCCTTCGCTCTGAGTGCAGGCCCGGGGGAGGCGCCCCTCTCACTAAGCTCCCCATCAGCTGCTTCTGTTTGTGGCCTGGGGCTCCTTTGCTATGCTCCGTGCTCAGTGCCTTGGCAGAGACATGGTGCCCCTCCCCTCACAACCCCCCCCCACTTCCTGGATGGAAAATCTTGGTTTTCATGGTCCAGGCTGACCAGAATGGAGCTTAAACACAGACAGCACTTGAGTTTGTTGGGAGGTCTTGCTTTTGCACTGAGGATGAGAGGAGGGGTTCTCTTGTGCTGGATGAGTTGAAGGTGAACGCAGTGGCAAACGGGGAACAGATGCAAATCTGATGCTTCAGGAGGGTGTTAGGGAGAAAACCCGGGATGGGTGTAAACAGCAAGGTAACCCAGATGACAGTGAAATTAGTGCATTGTTAGGAAAGGGTCAGCCTGGAGAGTGGTGCTTTTCATATCAGAAGAGCATTCCCCGTTATTCACAAACTCCAGGGCCTGTGGTCACGCAGCTCGGGGGACCCCGAAAGACCCTCGAAGAGACACTGCCCCCTCCCCCAGCTTGGGATAATTAGCGTTCCCCTCCTGCGTCTTCTCTTTGTGCCCTTCCCAGAGCTGCCTTCTCTAGTCCTGCCTGATCATGTCTGTCTCTAAGACAGCCCCATGGCTCCCCACTGCCCTCAGATGGAGGCCTGAACCCTTATTTCTCAACCACACCCTCCCCGCCCCCCACATGCTGTGTCTCAGCTCAGCTAACTGCCATCCCCTGCGCTTGCCTGACCTGCCCCCGACTCTTGCTCGAATCCTCCCCCACCCCCCACACCCACCCTGTGCACTCTCAGCTCCTGGGATGCTTCCCACTTAGAGCCCTCATCTACTGACCAGTCCTGCTTCCCTATCAGACCGAAAAACTTCCTCCTGGGCAGGGATTGTGTGTTTCCACTTCAGTAATGCTGGCAGCAACACAAGTCCAGGTGCCAAATTGCAGAATGAGGCATGCAGTCATTTCTGTCAATGAGCCACGTGCCCCGACATGACTCGATCCTAAATGTCTCCCCTGCCAGGCCTCAGCCGTTGTCCGGTCCCCCGAATGCATGCAGGCATCTGAGGCTTTTCTACCTAGCGTCCTGTCTTGTCCTGCAGGTGCTCGACGTGTCTGGGGCCGACATGTTGGCCAAGTCGATCGCCAACTGCCAGGTAGAACTTCTGGAAAACTGTGGGCACTCAGTGGTGATGGAGAGACCCAGGAAGACGGCCAAGCTCATTGTCGACTTCTTAGCTTCCGTGCACAGCACAGGCAACAACAAGAAGCTGGACTGAGTCCCTGCCCGCAGCCTGCACTCGCACACAGCGTCCGCCCCCATCTCCAGAATCGGACGCGGCATTTCTCAGGGATCCTGCCCCAAACGCGGTCGGAGCGCCAGCGTCCCTGAGGAGGCCAGTCCCCTGTCCCTGGTCTCAACGGATCCACAGAGCTTTGGGGGCCACAGGGAAATCTCCAAGATATTTTTCACAATATAGAAACTCCCCTGGGACAGAATTAAGAAAACCTAGCCATGAAATCTACCCAGAAGTCTTCAAGTTCATGTTGCAAAGCGACTGCCTTGGGACCATAATCACTGAGACCATCCTCTGTAAAACAACCTTCACAGACTGAGACTCGAGGATTTCCTGCTGCTTCGACGTTCTCCCCTGCATGGTCAGTGGCTGTTTTAGGAGCGTTAGTCTCCCATCTGCTGAGCCCTTCTTGTTCATGTCTGGTTTAAGTTCTATGTAGAGGCCCCTATGTGAGTGCAAGTCCATCAGCTGTGAGACCAGGGAGCAAGATGCAAGCTATCCGTGATACTAGCATGTGAGGAGGGGTGCGGTCCCACGCCTGCCAGCCCTCCCAGCTGCCAGAGCAGTGGAGAACACAGGTCGAGGGGTGGATGGGCGCCTGCGTGTCAGCCCTGTCATGAGGGAGCCCGGAACGGTTGCTGTATGATGACCAGGGTGGGTTTCCTGGGAATCATTGATTATTTTTAAAAGCAGGACTAATGAAGCAATAATGTTCTATCATCAGACTCGGATTCCACACACAAGCACCTCGTGGGCCTCTTTTCTATCTTGCTGTGCTACCGAAGACCCTTGGGTGTAAAATACTAGTTTGTTAATGAATTCTGTGAATTCTGTGAACAGTCATGTGATTGAAAATAAGTCTAAACAGCTGTAAAAGTGACCACAATGACACGAAATAAGTTTAATAAATCTAGATCAGCAACATGCAGATGGTTTCTGTCACTAAGTTCCTATTTAAGTACAACGTGGGCCGATTTCCTGTTAACTTTAAGAAGTGTTTTCTCAAGTAAGGCTTCTTCGAAGACACTGGAAGACCTTATTTGGGCGAGTTATTAGTTTTCTTCTAAGAAATCATGTTTGTCATTTTTATTCAGCTGAAACCGTGTATCAGAAACAGAAGGCACGAGTCATCAGACTGTTCCTTTTGGCCCTTGTCTGTTGTACTGAGGAGCCCTTAAAATTCCCAGAGCTTCAGGGCACCTGCGTGGTCAGTTAAGTGTCTGACTCTTGATCTCAGCTCAGACCTTCATCTTGGGGTCGTGAATTTGAGCCCTGCACTGAGCTTCCTGCTGGGCGTGGAGCCCATTTTTTTTTTTTAAAAGGGGGTGCCTGGGTGGCTCAATGAGTTAAAGTCTCTGCCTTCGGCTCAGGTCATGATCTCAGGGTCCTGGGATTGAACCCTGTATCAGGCTGTTTGCTCAGTGGGGAGCCTGCTCCCCTCCCCTTCCTGCCTCTCTGCCTACTTGTGGTCTCTGTCAAATAAATAAATAAAATCTAAAAAAAAAAAAAGTCCTCGGAGCTTGAACCCTCCAAATCTGTTTACAGAGACTCTGCAGCCAAGGAGTTCTAGAAATAAAGTGAGATAAACTTTATAGTTTAAATTAAAAACTACAGTTATAGTTTAAATATAGTTTAAGTTTATATGATAATTTATCAGAGAGGAGTGGAACACAGATCTTAGAAACAAGAAGATACAAAAATGTGATGTCTCAGATGGGGGAGCTGCAGCTAACCCAGTGTTGGGAGAGAATGTTAGAGGCCTCAGTACATGTATTAGCAAAGAAGAGGGGCGCCTGGCTGGCTCAGCCGGTGGAGTGTGTGACTCTTGATCTTGGGGTTGTGAGTTTGAGCCCCATGTTGGGTGTAGAGATTTCTTAAAAATAAATCTTTTTTTTTTTTTTTTAAGATTCTATTTATTAGAGAAAAAGTACACAAGCAAGGGGAGAAGGAGAGGGAGAAGCAGACTCCCAGCTGAGCAGGGAGCCTGACATGGGGCTCGATCCCAGGACCCCAGGATTGTGACCTGAGCCAAAAGCAGATGCTTAACCAACGGACCCACCAAGGTGCCCCTTAAAAATATAATCTTAAAAATGAGGGGCACCTGGGTGGCTCAGTGGGTTAAGCCTCTGCCTTCGGCTCAGGTCATGATCCCAGGGACTTGGGATCGAGCCCAGCATCCGGCTCTCTGCTTGGCAGGGAGTCTGCTTCCTCCTTTCTCTCTGCCTGCCTCTCTGCCTACTTGTGATCTCTCTCTCAAGTAAATAAATAAAAATTTTTAAAAAAACCCACAAATCAAAAATAAACCTAGAAAAAAATGGAAGGAAATAATACACACTGCTTGTTCCAATCTCTCATGTTCATCAAGAACTCTGAGCTTTGTGCGGTCCTGAGGACAGACGTCAGTCTGGGTGGGTTTGGGTAAGGAGGGACGGTGTCCAGGGTGTCTGAAGATGTCTCCAGCCTGGGGTGAGTCCTGCAAATCGGAAAGCATACGAGCTGCAGGAATCGTCATGCCCTGGGTGAACAGCCAGTGGGAATCCACAGTTGCTGCAGCATCGCCCACACACTGGAATCATCCAGGCAGGGGTGTGGGCTGCCCGTCTCACCAGGAGGACAGCTGGCGGGGTCTGCAGCGGCGGGAGGCAGCTCCCGCCTCCTCGGCTGTCAGGGAACGCGTCAGCTGGAAGTCACGAGAAGAGCATTATCGAAGAGTCCTTTGGACAGACCTTGGGTTGCCTTGGGTCCGCACCTCTGGCCCCACTGTGTTAGGGAGACTTGAAAACAGACATGCACAGCTCCCTCTTAGCACCCCACTTTTTGCCCTTGTGATGATAGCGAGCTTGCTGGTGACTGCCACCTGGCGGTCCCCCAAGCCACAGCCCACTGGGCCCTGTGGTAAGTCGCCTTTAATGGAAGTCTTGGAAAGAAGAAAAGGGTCATTCAGAACAGCCTGGCCTGAAAGACTGCCAGAAGTTTCTGAAGTGACAGTGGAAAGTCCTGAGAATCACAAGGGGACTGGCTCTCCCACTTCCTGGAGTGGGGCCTTCAGGGCTGCCGAGAATGGACTCTGCTGGGCACGTACCGAGGGCACTGAGGGACAGGCCGTGGGTGGCTCTCAGTTCGCCATCAGTCTGGGCTTCCTGTCCAGCGCAGATGCAGCCCCAGGAGTGACTAGTGCCAGGAACACAAGTCTGATGGTGCTGCCCATGTGTGTAAGTCTGCCGTCCATTCGAGGCCCCGTGAGTACTCCCCATCCCAGGGAACCGTCCTTGTTGCTTTTTCCAAAGGAAGTTCTCAGAAGGTACTGGGAGATGAGAAGGTGGGTCAGGCCAGCTGATGCTCTTCAAGTACGTTCCCTGCATCCCCTTATGAAGTTCTCACACCCCTGAAAGGTACATACAACCTGTCCTGTTTTATTTTTATTGCTTTAAGTTGTGCCCATTTTCAGCCCGAAAACTGAGGCAGGAAGAGGTGAAGTATCTTGCCCAAAGTCACACAAATAACAGGTAGAGAGATCCGCCTGGCTCTCTGACTCAGAGTGGAACGTGCAACTCTTGATCGCGGGTTGTAGGTTCAAGGTCCTCATTGAGTGTAGAAATGACTTAAAAATAAAAAAATAAAATAAAATCTTTTTTAAAAAGGTTAAAGAAAAAGTAGAGAGATGGAGACAGTTTATGATTGAAGGTGACTTGCAAAAACGATATTTTCGCCGGTTCCGGCAGGAGCTCTCTCCAACTTCCGGTGGAGGCTGGGGCCCTTGTTGGCTCACCTGAACCAGCCAGCGTGAGGCAGCTCTGGCCACGATCACTGAGGCCACACCTCAGGCCCCTGCTGAAGAAGGTGACCTAGTTGTTCACTCAGCAGTTAAGGCTATCCCAGTGCTGAGCCTCTGCTAGGTAGAAAACAAGCTTACCTACATTCAGGCATCTGAGGGGGCCTCAAGGGACAGCCTGAGCATCTCCCAGTATCTTCAATAACTAGGACACGTGTCATGTCCACCCTGGAAGGGCTCGTTCACCTTGTTGATAACCCTCATCCCTCTGCCACACTCTGGAAATTATCATCAGTGTTGTTTGTCCAAAGGAGTTTTCTGGAGGGGAGGTCTCCTCTGCATCTTGCCGCTCGGGGGGTCAGACTTGGCAAATGGTCAGTTGATTTGGCTCTGCTCCTAGCTGCCATTCCAGAAGTGGCCCGAGGCTCTGCCTGGGATCAAGTTCAGTCTCCCTTTGAAGGGGGTCAATTCCCCAGACTTCATACCAGCCAGGGCTCTCCCACTGCCTTCAGAAAAATTTTAGGTTTTAATTAAATATAAATGCTAGCTTTGGGTCCCTCATTTACTTCCCAAACCCTGGATATATTGATCTCAGGACAATCATTAGTTGATTAGTGAAACACACATTGTTCTAAAATGATGGATGCAAATTTTAATATCCACACGTACCAACCTTCTGCTTTAGGGACTTCCTGTCTTAGATCGAGAAATCTTTTATTAAAAGTGGCAGTTCACTGGGTCTGTTCCAAAAATGTTAGCTGAAATACTCTTAGGCCAGGTTTGGGAGTATTTTTTTTTTTTTTAAATTCTTAGTCTGTCTCTGTCTCAACTCCTCTCCTTCCTCACCCCATCTGTTTCGCCACTTGATCTGTCTCCTGTCCATCTGTCTGGCTCTTACCCACACACACAGGCACACAGAGACATACTCTCCCCTGACAGGTGGGAGCCCGGCTCTTCTGATCCTTCGTCTTGTAGGTCTTCAACAGCACTCCTTTAACCATACAGACTGGGCTTTCTCACCAGCCGCTTCTCTCCCCCCAACAAAGTAGGATGATGTTCACACACAGCCACCATCCCTGAAAGGAGGCAAAAAAGTAGAGAGGGGGTGGGTGTGGTCACAGATGGGGCAGTGGAGATGTCTTCACATTACCTGCTGAAGTCGGGCCAGCTGTCCTGGGGCTCTGGACTGGAAGTCACCAGCAAGCAGGCTTGCAGTCACCTGCAAGTGCCTATGATGGGATGAGTGTCTTGCATGACCATCATTAGCCTAGTCAGGGAGCGGATGTCAGATAGCTCCTTTCAGCAGCAGGAAGGTCTTCTCCCTTGGCTCCTAGAGGAACCTTTCCTTCATGACATGTTGGATCTTTGGTCTCCCTATCCTCCAGGCAATGACTAGGAACCTTAGGGCATACCTAAGGGGTGTCCAAGCTCCAATAGGAGATGGGAGGAGAAGGAAGGATTCTTAGGGGCAAGAAAGGGCCAACTATTGACATGGGATAGATTTACAATCCGTTACCAAACCTCCAAGAGCCAGATGTGCTTCTGAATTCAGAAAGTTTCCCATTTTAGAAAGGTGTTAGGGTGTCTACACCCCAGATTATGTAACATCCCCAGTGGGGTCTGGGACTGCCTGACACGACCAAATGCATCGACATTTCTGCTGTGTGATGTAGGAATATCCACGGTAAATGGGACAAAAGCTATAAAAAGCTTCATCTGTGTTCAGATTAAAACTGCCTGCCGCATGGAGATTCGGTTTTCACGGTTTTCTTGGGTTTCAGAATTGTAGATAAGAGAACAGCAGGCCTCCACTCCCTGTTTCCTCTCTCCTGCCTTGGGGTTGGGCGGTGGGGGGTGGGAGTTGGGGGGCAGGAGGGGGCATCTTGAGGAAAAGTCTGTTCTTCCAAGTGGGAGAGAGGCATACAGATGGGTGTGGTCCATGGCTCCCTCTTGTGACTGTTAGGGGCAAGTTCTGATTTTTATTTAACAATTTTTTATTTGACGATTATTGAATTATACAAATAATGACCTGTCACTTTAAAAGAAGTCAAAGAGGGACGCCTGGGTGGCTCAGTCGGATAAGCGGCTGCCTTCAGCTCAGGTCATGATCCTAGGGTCCTAGAATCAAGTCCCACATCGGGCTCCTTGCTCAATGAGGAGACCGCATCGCCCTCTGCTTGCTGCTCCCCATGCTTCTGCTTGCCTGCTCTCTCTGACAAATAAATAAATAAGATCTTTAAAAAAAATAAAACAAGTTAGACAAAATGAATGTTTAAAAAATATGCTTAGGGGCACCTGGGTGGCTCGATGGGTTGAGCCTCTGCCTTCGGCTCAGGTCATGATCTCAGGGTCCAGGGGTCGAGCCCCTCATCAGGCGCTCTCCTTGGTGGGAGGCCTGCTTCTCCCTCTCTCTCTGCCTGCCTCTCTGCCTACTTGTGATATCTCTCTCTGTCAAATAAATAAATAAAATCTCTAAAAAAAATGGTTATAGGGTGGTTGGGTTATGGACATTGGGGAGGCTATGTGCTATAGTGAGTGCTGTGAAGTGTGTAAGCCTGATGATTCACAGACCTGTATCCCTGGGACTAATAATACATTATATGTTAATAAAAAATAAAAAAATTTTTAAATCTAAAAAATATGCTTATACATACATATGTATCAACAGAGAGGTCCCCACAGTGGGTTTATTGGGGGGAGTGTTTTACAAAAATGGGTCATGCTGGACACTACTGTTGCTGACCCCACAAGCCCCTGCTTGCTCTTTTCACTTACATCTATGTCTTTGGCCTCTTACAGGTCAGAAGCCACAGATCCCCCAGGTCCCTGTCATGGAGATGCAGAGGCCTCCAGGGAAAGGTGGGGTACAGCAAGGGTGCACTTCTTTGTAGGAAGAATCTTTGCAGGATTTGCTGAATCCCTCAGACAGGATCTCTGAATTTTAAGAAAGGCTCTTGGGCCCCTCCAGAAATAGGCTGCTTAATTACAGGGTGGTTATCCCCTCCCCAAATTCTCCCTTCCTAGGGTCCTAGAGCCTTTCTTTAGGGGAGAAGTTTCTAACTTCACTTGTGAGGAAAGTTCCCTCCATCATTTAAATGCATTTCAGAAATGCTGGATGAAACAGAGTTAAATAGCCTGGCTCCCACTCTGACCCCAACACAAGCAGGGAACTGACTGAGAAGGAGCAAAAACACCCTCAGAAGGCAGCCAGGGATGCTGGGGCTGAGGCAGGGACCAGGCCATTGTGCTGCTCCCCTGGATGATGGGGCTGGTTTGGACTTGACAGTCTGGGCAGGAACTTCTGGCCTTTTTTAACCCTTGACTGGGGAGCTGCACCCCAGAGTCCTTGCCTGCAGCATGAGCTGCTAATGTCCCCTTCCCAGATCCCCTTTACTGACTGATGCCTCCCCACCGCTGCTGAGGAAACACACCTGCCCTTCTCCAAGGGCACTGCCCTCAGACTCAGGAGATGCCTGAGCGGTGGTGCCCCATCGTCTTCCTCTCACCTCCTGGGGTTTCCAGACAAAATACAGGCTGCCCAGCTAAATTTAATTTAGCATAAGGATATCCTATTCACTGTGTATCTGAAATTCAAATTTAACTGGGCAACTGTATTTTTATTTGCTAAATCTGGCGACCCTACAGCTGGCCGTCAATGACAGGGGGTGGGGGTGAGTAAGTATGATGAAGGCTAGAAGCTTGCTGGTTATAATTTATGCTCCAGGGCTCCCTGTGGGATCAGCCTGAGGCTGGGCTTCAGCTGAACTCACATCTTTGCTTAGCTTCTTCCCCTGCCCATCCTACCTTGCAGGTTTCCCATGAGAGCTGCCCCCAATAAATTACTTCCATGAGGATCCCTGTCTCACGCTCGGCCTCTGGGGACTCAAAAACGTGCCTCCCTTTCAATTTCCTTTGAGGGTTGCCTCAAGGAAAAACTTCCAACCTTATCATCCCATGGGTTCTGGAGCTTCTCACCACCTTAGACAAATGACTTACCCTCTCTAAACTCTTTTCTCTTTTCTCATCTGTGAAAGGCAAAAATGTGACATTGGGGGGTAGATGGGATAATGTGAGCACGCTCTCGGGCATTTGGCAAGTCTCCCTAAATGGAAACAACTACCTGTCATCCGTAGCTTTTAGCTCCTGGTCATTTTCACTCCCTTTGTCCTACCTTCTCAATCTGCTGGCATCAGTGGATATGATTCCCATGAGTCTGATGGAGATTTGTGGCTGTAATCCTACTTACGCCCCCCTCTTGCCTTTTCTTCCCAACATTGTGAAAGTACCAGTTTTAGCAAAAGCCATTTGGCACCAGTTCACAAGGCAAGGAGGGGAAAGCTGAACACAGCATGGGGAGGAAGTGTGGACTCAACTCTTTCTTGGCTGCCATAGCTTCCAGGAACATAAAACACTCCCCGACCTGCCCCAACAACTTGGCTCTGAAATATCAGAAACACAGTGTCTGGAATGGCCGTCTTGAGCCAAATGACTCCACCAATGCAATGCTGGGCAATGTCTATAAAGACTGAGGCAGGTTCGTATGTTATGTTTTGGAGTGATGTTAAGATATATTGTTAAGAGGGGCACCTGGATGTCTCAGTCGTTAAGTTTCTGCCTTCGGCTCAGGTCATGATTGCAGGGTCCTGGGATGGAGCCCTGCATAGAGAGAGAGCACCGCCTGTTCCATTACAACGCGGAGCCTGCTTCTCCCTCTCCCTCTGCCTGCTGTTCCCCTTACTTGCGCTGGCTCACGCTGTCTCTGTGTCAAATAAATACAATCTTAAAAAAAAAAAAAAAAGGATACATTGTTAAGAAGGGAAAGCCCCCCCCTACCCTATCTCTAGAAGGACACTTAAGAAACTCCTACCAGTGGATATCCCTCTGGACAAAGGCTGGCTGGGTAATGGGTGGGAGGAAGACTTACTTTTCATTGTTTATCCTATCCTACATACTATTTGAAATGTAGGCCACATGCCAACAGTATCTTCTAAGAAAATAGATACAATTTAACTGAGAAAAGTCAACTACTATCTTTATCATTCAAAGGCATCTCTTTTATTCTAAACTCTGAATTAATGAGGCAACACTGAGAAAATTCAGGGAACGTGGAAGGCACTTCATTTTCAGGGTTTGGTGCAGAAAAGTGAAAATTACCCAAGTTCTTTGAAATCTAAAATACATGAGCTGCTCTGGTTTTTCTGGGCTGCAGCCTGGCAGGTGGGTTTGCCAGGTGGCTGGTTTGGGGGACCTCTCCCATTGCAGAGTGTTTCCTGAGCCCAATACTTCACACCCACTATTTTTTCCTCACAACACTTTCCTACTAATCTCTCTGTGTGACGGATGAGGAGGATGAATAAGTGGCAGAGGATGTATTTGAAGTGAGTTTGGGCAATTTCTGAAACCCAACCTCTTTCAAGAAAGAAAATGTCACTGTCTGTGGGGTCTGTGTTGACTTCCTCTACCTCTCCCCCAATCTGGAACAAGTCCTGTCTCTTCTGAGGAAAGAAGGAAGGGAAGCAGAGCCACAGAACCATAGAACATGACTATAGCCAAGGACAGGTTGCAGGATGATACAGAAGAAAGTGGAACTTCAAGAAAAGACACAAGAGAGAAGGTCCCAGCTGACTCAGGCTCATGCGTGCCTGTGCCGGGCAACCCTCTGCCTCCAACCCAGGCAGAATCAGCACACCCACCTAGGAAGTACTGCATTTACTAACGGTGTGCTGTGTGTTGAGTGCCAGGCACTGGAATGCAACAGTGAGCCAGCACAGACAAGGCCTCATGCTCATGGGGCTTACACTCAAGTTTTGGCAGCCCCAGTGCCTCTCCCACACACACCCTTGACTCATGCCACACAACTGATAGTAGTATGGGGCAGTATGGACAGCACCATCTAAAGTCAGACCGCCTGCTCCACTGTTTACACCTGGGTGGTCTTGGGTAACAGCCTCTCGGGCCTCAGTCTCCACCCCTGTAAAATGGGGATGATCACAGTAATAGCTACCTTAAGGTTGTGTGAGAGTTCCACGACTTAACATAAGAAATTTTTTTTTCATGATGCCTGGCCCAAAGAAAGTACTCGATAAATATTAGCTGCAATTATTATTGTTGTTGTTGTTGTTATTTTATTATTATTATTTACAAACACTATCAGTTTCACGAGTACAGGGCCGTATCTTCTTGTTCTCCGCTGGGTTCCCAGTATCAGCACATAATAGGGACTCAGCATGAATAAATGCATAGATGAAAAAACCTGGCTTACATGTGAAAACAGGACCATCTGGAGCTTATGTCAACCCAGATGGATAACCTACTATGGGCTGGGCGCCTCAAGGGACATTAGGAGTGGCTCCAGTCCTTGGGGTGCTTGATGGAAGATGCTCAGCAGAAGAGATGCTACATAGAAAGCTGAGTGAATGAATGCATGGATAAATACACGACTATGAACGCGAGCTCCTGGGACGAATAAATACGTCCGGAGTCCAGTACCCCATACACACATTTGGTCACAGAGCTTTCTCTGGAATGGGCACCAGGGGGCACTGAGCTCGGCCAGTCTGAGCTCCTGCAGGATTCACGCCCAGGTTCCAAGGAGGACGCCGCGCGGTGACGTCATATCCGCGCCTAGCCATTACGCTTCCGGGGAGCGAAACAGACAGAAGCCAAACGTAAGTAATCCCGGAGTTTCCTGGGTCCGGGGGCCTGGCCACTGCAGAGGAGCTCCCAGCTTTGGTGGATTCTTGCAGTGAACAGGAATCAGGGAGGCGCCAGGTTAATCTGACCGAAAGCAGGTAAGCAGAAGCCCATAGAAGAGCGGCTTTTTGCCGGGAATGAGCTCAGTCGGCCACGCTGGTGACGTATGGCCGTGCGCGCCAGGTGCGCATACGCAAGCGGAGAGTTACGGCGGCCGGCGCGCGACCGTCTGAAATACCTATCTGCTCCGGCCTAGGACGCATTGGGCTGCTGGCGAGCTCCGGCCTCGCACCTCCCAGACTATCTGTACAACGGGGTCAGCAGTTGGTGGCTGCGAGGAGTGAGCGGCAGCAGTTGGTGGCTGCGAGGAGTGAGCGGAATCACGTGTGCAGACCGCATGCGCCCGGCGCCAGGTGGGCGCCAAATAAATGGCGGATGGTCGTAAAAAAAAAAAAAAAAAAAAGTTTAAAACAACTTAAGTGTACAACAGTAGGGGACTGAGCTTTTTTTTTTTTTTTTTTAATGATTGATTTGGTCCAAAACTTATACATTGGATGCATACTGTGTGCGATGCACTTTTCGATATCTGCGAAACAGTTGTGAACAGGATAGAACTGGGTTTCTTGCGGAGTGTATATTCCTTTGGGGTGGGGGAGGGAAGTACAAAGCGAATAAATGAATTACGTAGTTGTGTTAGAAGGTGGTTAAGTGCTGTAGGGGAAAACTAGAACAGGGGCGTGGAGGGGCTGCCGTATTAGAACAGCCACCGGACCACATCGAGGGGTGCGAGTTGATCAAAGCCGTGAAAGAACCGAGGGAGCGAGCCATCTGGTTACCTGGTGGAGGAGTATTCCCAGCGTGCGGAAAAGCTAGGAGCGAGGCGCAGAGGCGGGAGGGAAACGGTGTGTGAGGAAGAGCTAGGAGTCTGGTGGAGGGGGTTGAGCAAGGGAGCATGGTCAGAGCTGTTGGAGGAGGCAGCGGTACAGTTCAGGTAAGGCCTTGCAGGTCCTGTAAGTCCTTTGGATTTACTCTCAGTAAAACGGGAACCATTGCAAGGTTTTGAGCAGAGGAATGGCGAGGGCTCGAATAGGTTTTAACTGGCTCAGTCTGCTGTAGAGACTAGATTGGGGGAGAGTGGGCAGCAGGTGGAATTAGGGACACCTATGACTATAGGTCACTTAATGAGCATCCCTACAGCCATTACAAAGGCTGGCTTCAAAGATGATGATAGCAAGAGCTATGGAAGTTCTTCCATTGTTACGGTGAGCCTGGCTGTAGGAAGGGTACCCAGGCATGCTCTCCCTTAATCTCTGGACAGCCTGCAGAGGGCAATACTGTCACTGCCTCTGAGGCTGAGGCCTTTGTGGAGGTCACTGCTCAGTAAACACTTGCTCCTTAAGTCTTTTTTGGTGAAATATACATAACATGAAATTGCCATTTTTAAGGGTACAGCCCATTGATGCAAAGTATGTTAACACTGTTATGGAACCATTATCATTATCCATTTCCAGAAAAGTCTTCATTGTTACTGGCATCCTGAGCCTCAGGACAAATCTCATTCCCCTAGCTCAGACAGCCAACTCCATCAAGGCTGATGGTGACTCTTAAAAAAAAACCCCGTCGGGTGCCAGACAATGAATGAAGTGATTGAGGGCCCTATTCTCCCTGCCCTTCTAGTCAGGGACAACTCTAATGATTGGGAAAAAAATCATCAGGTGGTTATTTCTGCAGTCTTTCTTGAAAGCAAAATTATCCTTGAACATACAGGCCTAATACTTCTCACATTCAGTAAGTGTTTATTGAAACACTTACTGTGCCAGACACAGTAACTATTCATGTTTCTAAGTAGCTGCTTGGATGTAGCTCCTTGACCCTAACTTCTCCTTTTCTCTGAGGATATCATCTAGGAGTGGTTGGAACTGAGCCTGGTGCAAAGGTTTTGTAAATGATGGTTTACAGCTATGTGACCTTGGCTAAGTCCCTTTCTTTGGTTGGACCTCAAGTTTCCTGGTTTCTTTAGTGGGGAACCAGATATTGAACAAATAGTATTAAGAGATTGCGTAACAAGTGAATCTAATGTAGAATAAGGTGTCCAAAAGATGGCTTTCTTGAGGAGGTAAAGTTTCTGGAAGAGGTGAGCTTTAAGCTAAAATGCAAAGGATGAGTAGGGGCTATCCAGAGGGGGAGTGAGGTAGGAGTGGAGCCAGTGACAGATTCTCCCCAGGGGACCAGCATGTTCTGAATTCTTGAAGGATCCAGGTCTATTAGAAATTACATTGATTGCCCATTCCAGGAATCCCTCTTCTCAAACCCCTTGCTCTTTAAGCTCAGCCCTTTGTGGGGGGTAGGGGCTACCAGATAGCTCTGTATACACCTGACCTTCAGACAGAAGAGGCAGATCCAGCATGGGATGGAACAGCAGAGCTACCACTCCTCATTCTCCTCTTCATGTTCTGTGTTGACTGAGAGCAAACAAGAAGATCCTACGTTTTATTCCTGTATGCTATTTTTTTTTTAAGATTTTATTTATTGGTTAGAGAGAGAGCATGCACAAGCAGGGGAAGCAGCATGTAGAGGGAGAAGCAGGCTCCCCACAGAGCAAGGAGCCCAATGCTCAGGATGTCAGGACCCCAGGATCATGACCTGAGTGGAAGGCAGATGCATAACTGACTGAACCACCCAGGTGTCGCTTTTTTTTTTTTTTTAAATTAGGAGGCATTGTACCAGAGTGGTCTTGAGGGGCTCAGGAGTGTTTGGAATCTGTGTGTCCTTGGGCAAGCGTTACCTCTCTTTGCCAAGCCTCAGTGTCCTCTACTCAAAAATGGATTGGGGGGAAAGTGGGAATAATAATAGCTTTTCCTCATGGGATCATTTTGAAAACTTATGACTTAAGGCATGTGGGGCTTTTAGCCCAGGGCTAGGTACTTAGTAAGAAAAAATGTCCATTGGGATTATATTATTAGGATTTGAGAGTACAACAATGTGGCATGTAGAAAATCTTTTCTTTGCGTCTTTATGGGTAAATTTGGTTTGACCAGAAATAAATGAATTACTATACTAGGAGTTCTTTTAAAAATCAAATGGGTTAAAAAAAAAAAAAAAAGAAAGGGAGAAAGAAAAGAAAGAAAGGCAAGGGGTGCCTGGGTCGTTCAGTCAGAGGGGCATGTGACTTGAACTCAGGGTCATGAGTTCAAGCCTCACTTTGGATGTAGAGATTACTTAAATGAATAATAAGCTTGAAAAAAAACCAAATGGGTCTTGGCTACCTAGCTGGCTCAGTTGGTAGAGCATGCGACTCTTGATCTCAGGGTTATGAGTTCAAGCCACACACTAGGTGTAGAACTTACTTAAAAAAAAAAAAATCAAGGGCCACCTGGGTGGCTCAGTGGGTTAAGCCTCTGCCTTCAGCTCAGGTCATTGTCTCAGGGTCCTGAGATCAAGCCCCGAATCAGGCTCTCTGCTCAGCGGGGAGCCTGCTCCCCGCCCCCCATGCCTGCCTCTCTGCCTACTTGTGATCTTTGTCAAATAAATAAAATCTTTTAAAAAACTTAAAAATGTTTTAAAAATTTAAAAAAATAAAAATGGGTTAAATTCTCATTTAAGGAAAGCCTGGGTGGCTCAGTGGGTTAAAGCCTCTGCCTTCGGCTCAGGTCATGATCCCAGGGTCCTAGGACTGAGTCCTGCATTGGGCTCTCTGCTCAGTGGGGAGCCTGTTTCCTCCCCTCTCTCTCTCTGCCTGCCTCTCTGCCTACTTGTGATCTCTGTCAAATAAATAAAATCTTAAAAAAAAAAATTCTCATTTAAAAAAATGGGGAGTGGGGAGTGAAAAACAGCTTGTACCTTGCTAATTTGTAGCCCTCTTGACTTTTAATTTCTAGATGTGTTCAGCTTTGGAAAAGATGCCAACCCCAGCCACCACATATGAAAGAATAGTTTACAAAAACCCCTCTGAGTACCATTATATGAAAGTCTGCCTGTAAGTTCAGTCTCTTTAGTTCTATTTGTGATTACATTTTTATCAATCTGAATAGTATGGAATTTAATACATTTTTTTTCTTTTTAATGTTTTTGTAGAGAATTTCAGGATCGTGGGGTTGGACTGAATGCTGCACAGTTCAAACAGCTGCTCATTTCAGCCTTGAAAGACCTCTTCGGGGAGGTATGAATCACTTGGTAGATTGAACATTCCCAAGATTTTTGTAAGAAATACCGAAACAGTGCTTTTCCAAATGCTTATTTTAAAACTTGAGAAACACACTTGACACTGCAGAAGCAGACTTTCAGAAATGATGAGTTTTGGGTAGGTCTATTCTAATATGCCTTTGTGTATTTGACAAGGAACGTGTTAGACAAATGTTTTAGTGCCGTGCTACACACACTGTGGCCCAGACTGACAACCTGCAAATAGTTTTTTGGGGTTTTTGTTTTGTTTTTTTAAAGATTTTATTTATTTAGAGAGGGTGTGTGTGAGCAGGGGGAGCGGCAGAGGGAGAGGGAAAGAGAACCCCAAGCAGACACCACATTGAGCACAGAGTCCAACCAGGGCTCAGCCTCAGGACCCAAGATCACAATCCGACCCAAAATCAAGAGTCAGATGCATAACTGCCTGAGCCACCCAGGCGCCCTGTGCAGTTTTCTTGCCCATTGTGAAGATTTGTGACTCACACCAAAATCAGCACACTCCCTTTACTGAGAAAGTCTCTGTAAGCAAACCTTGAGGTGAGCTATCAGAAGAGCTTGCAATGCTTGATCTTCAAATCATGAGTTAGAGCCCCATGCTGGTGTAGAGATTACTAAAAATAAATAAACTTAAAAAAAAAAAAAACTGAGCTGAACTAAACAATGTACTTAGTGATATTGTTGATTTACATTGTGTTACAGCCTCTTATTTTATCACAGACCAGCGTACTGAGTAGTCCCGTGTTAGCATGTACTTGAAAATAAACAGAATTTTGAGAGAACAAAGATGATTCAGGAAATTATTTCCTGATTCATATATTTTATCAAATCAAAATCTGGTAAGCATCTCATTAAAATTAAAAACGTATACTCCACAGCAGACTCAGTTAAGAGGATGAAAAGACAAATTACAGACTGGGGGAGACTAATTGCAAACCACATATCTAAAATGTAAAAAGAACTCTTAGGCGCCTGGGTGGCTCGGTCAGTTAAGCGTCTGCCTTGGGCTCAGGTCATGATGCCAGGGTCCTGGGATCGAGCCCCGAATTGGGCTTCCTGCTCAGCAGGGAGTCTGCTTCTCCCTCTGCTCCCCCCCATTGCATGCTTGTTCTCTCTCTGTCTCAAAAATAAATGAAAAATCTTTTAAAAAATGAAAATAAAATAAAACAAACTCTAAAAACTCCATAGTAAAGAAAACCAAACATTTCAACTTGAAAGTGAGTAAAAGACACAAATAGACATTTTAGAAAAAAAGATGTACTGTTGACAGAGAAGCACATGAATGAAAAGATGTTCAGCATTATTAGCCATTAGGGAAACACACCTTAAAAACGCAATAAGCTCAGGGTGTCTGGGTGGCTCAGTTGCTTAAGCAACTGCCTTCAGCTCAGGTCATGATCCTGGAGTACCAGGATCGAGTTCTGCATTGGGCTCCCAGCTCCACGGGGAGTCTGCTTCTCCCTCTGACCTTCTGCTTTCTCATGCTCTCTCTCACTGTCTCTCTCTCAAATAAATAAATAAAATTTAAAAAAAAACAACAACACAATAAGCTCAAAAAAAGCCCCACAAAACAAAATGGGGGCGGGGCACCTGGCTGGCTCAGTTGATGGAGCATGAGACTCTTGATCTCTTGACTCTTGGTTGTGAGTTCGAGCCCCATGTTGAGTGTCAAGATTACTTAAAAATAAAATCTTTAAAAAACAAGTAAATAGGGGCACCTGGGTGGCTCAGTAGGTTAAGCCTCTGCCTTTAGCTCAGGTCATGATCTCAGGATCTTGGGGCTCGTCAGGCAGGGAGCCTGCTTCCTCCTCTCTCTGCCTGCCTCTATGCCTACTTATGATCTCTCTGTCAAATAAATAAATAAAATCTTTTTTTAAAAAAGTAAATAAAAAATAAAAACACAGCGAGCTATCACTACACACCTAACAGAACAACTGAAAATAAAAATTTTTTAAAAATGGTGATAATACTAAACGCTGGTGAGGATGTAGAGAAACTGAGTCACTCCTTCATTGCTAATGGGAATGCAGAATGGCATAGACACCTTGGAATACCATTTGACAGTTTCTAAAAACAACTTAAACATGCATATGCTCTACTACCCAGCAGTTACGCCCCTAGGCATTTGTCCTAGAGAAGTGAAAACTTAATGTTCACACAAAACTTGTATGTGAGTGTTCATCGTAGCTTTATTTGTAAGAGCCCAAAAGTAGAAATAAGGCAGATGTCCTTCCGTGAGTGGTTAAACATTCATGATATATTCATACCATAGAATATAATCAGTAATAAAAAGGAACAAACTGTAGATACACATAAAAACTTAACCGAATCTCCAGAGAACTATGCTAAGTGAAAAAGCTAATCCCAAAAGGTAACATTCTGGGTGATCCCGTTTGGATCATGCTCCTGAAGTAAGTAAAGTGTATAAACTGGAGAAAGATATGTGGTTAGGGGTTGGGGGGAGGAGTGGGTGTGACTAAAACGACGTAGGAGAGCAGCCTTGTGATGATGATCTAATTCTGGTGATGGTATCTCACCAGATGAGATACCATCTTGGTGGTTATGGTAGTGGTTGCATGAAACGCTCTGTGTGGGAAGATTGCATAGCAGTATGCACACACACACACGCACAGACAAATATGAGTGCACGTATGACTGGCAAAATCTGAATAAACTGGTTTATCAATTTTAGGTTTTTGGGTTTGATACTGTATTACCGGGGGTGCATAGAACCTTCCTCTAAAATACATTGTCCCTTGTGATTCCAATTTTTCAAATAAAAAGTTTAAGAGAAAAGTGTGCACCTTCTATCAGGTATGATATCCGGTTCCAGAATGAAGAATGTTACGAGAGAGGAAGTAGGTGGTTTCTGTATGTGAAACAGCCTAGCAGGCAGTTGAGCTTAATCCTGGGGATCAGGGATGGAACTTTTTCTTTTTTAACCCTGAGATCAAAAGTCTCCTGCTCGACTAACTGAGCCATCCAGGTGCCCCCAGGGATGGAACGATTTAAACGAAGACTTGAAGTTCACCCTTCAAGTCATGAAGAGTTACAGGAAGAACATTCCAGACAGGGATAATTGTAAGTAAGCAGTCCCAGTACTACAGCACCACTAAATAAAATACTGCTTTTTTAGAGGAGAAAAGCAGTTGACAGGATTCGTTGTAAGACTTTAAGACTAGTGATGATGAGGGCTCCTGGGTAGCTCAGTCTGTTAAGCATCTGCCTTCGACTTGGGTCATGATCCCAGAATCCAGGGATGGAGTCCTGTGCTCGGCTCCCTGTTCAGCAGGGAGTCTGCTCCCTCTGCTCCACCCCCTGCTTAACGCTTGCTCTCTTTCTCTCTTTTCTCTCTCTAGCTTGCTCTCAAATAAATATAATCTTTTTTTTTTAAGATTTTATTTATTTATTTGACAGAGATCGAGAGAGGGAACACAAGCAGGGGGAGTGGAAGAGGGAGAAGCGAGCAGGGTTCCCACCAAGCAGAGAGCCCAATGTGGGACTCAGTCCCAGGAACCTGGGATCATGACCTGAGCCGAAGGCAGACATTTAATGACTAAGCCACTCTGGTGCCCTCCAAATAAATAAATAAAATCTTAAAAAAAAGAGAACAGTGATGGTAGAAGGTACCCTGCTACCTCAATCACTGGAGCATGCGACTCTTGATCTCAGGATTGTGAGTTCGGGCTCCACATTGGGTAGAGATTACCTTAAAAAAATAAATTGCGAGGGTAGCCTGGATGGCTCAGTTGTTAAGCTTCTGTCTTCAACTTGGGTCATAATCCCAGGGTCCTGGGATCGAGCCCCACATCAGGCTCCTTGCTCAGTGGGAAGTCTGCTTCTCCCTCTCCCACTCCCCGCTGCTGTGTTCCCTCTCTCCCTATCTCCCTCTCTCTGTCAAATAAATAAATAAAATTTTTAAAAATAATAAATAGCGACAATAATAGTCTGCTAATAGTATTTTTCCATACTTAGGTTGATGCAGCGTTACCCTTGGACGTCCTAACCTACGAAGAGAAGACCCTGTCAGCCATCTTGAGGATAAGTAGCAGGTATGACAGACAGAGGCATCTTTGTAGTATAACAGAGGAGAGACATGGATGGAGAAATAAAGCAAAAATACTCTTCTCTAAGAAGAGGCTTGTCATGTGAACTCTGAGTAGTTTTTGGAAGTTTAAACTGGGATGGATATGAACATTTATCCACCAGGAGCTTAGAACAAAACTCATGATTTGCTTACAGCTATCGTGTTTCCCAATTGATGGCCATGGTTGTAAACTCAAAAATGTGTATTTTAGAAACATTCTTAATTGAAGCTTATTTTATTCTCTGCCTATGAGATACTGTGCTTTTACTTTTAAAGTTTTCTCATTTAGGGCTCTCTTTGGCAGCACATCTACTCAAGTTTTCTCATTTAAATTAGGTTTTTTTAGAACTAATTTAACTGTCTGGCCCATCACAAAAGTACTAGGGAGATGTCACAGAGACAAATCCTTATGCATTCATTGTTGATCTCTCTGCAGTGGTCTTGTCAAGTTGTGGAGTTCTTTGACTCTGTTAGGATCCTATAAAGGCAAGAAATGTGCTTTCAGAGTGATTCAGGTAAAGGCTTCCTTCACATATTCCAAACAAGGCTGAGTAGGGGTCAAACAGCTTTTTCTTTTTCTTTTTTTTTTTTTTTTTTTTGAGATTTATTTATGAGAGAGAACGAAGCAGAGTTCGGGCCCCAGCATGCTGGGCCCATGAGAGAGAATGAGCTTGTTGGGGGGGGGGTTGCTAAGGGAGAGGTGAGGGAAAGAATCTCAAGCAGACTCCATTCTGAGCAAGGAGCCCAACATAGGGCTCAATCCCAAGACCCCGAGATCATGACCTGAGCCAAAGTCAAGAGTCAGATACCCAACTGACTAAGCCACCTAGGCACCCCTCAAACTGCTTTTTAATACATGTCCCATTTTTTGCTTGCATAAATCTAGTATGGTTAAAATTATCCACAGGGGGCAGTGGGAAGGAATAAAGACTGCATTGCTTCTGGAAGTGTGAGAGAAAGCACTTAGATTTTAGATTGTATGGGAGATGTTTGGGGATGAAACTTGGAATTCTTGTGGAAAAGTCTTAACTTTCCATTTGTTGCTTAATGCCTAGTGCCTAAAATATTAGAAGACTAAACTTACTCTGATCACTTATGTATTTGAGGCTACCTCTAAGGTTGCTCTTTAAGATGCCACTGCATCAGCCTCACTTACCCTAGGAAACTAGGCACGTTTCCACATGCCCTGTGTTGCAGTGCAGTTTCTCCCCAGATTTCCTTAACTTTTTTCTTTCTCTTACAGGTTTCTCCATTTCTGCTTGCCTTATCTGGTAATAGTAGGGAACTAGTATTGGATTGAATAGTCGTCAATTGCAGAAACATTCCTCTGCTCTCAGAAGCCCCTTTTGGTGACAATACGCTGCCTGAAGACTGAAGCCATTTAAAAGCTCCGATTGCTGGACTTTGACAGTGCTGAAGATGTTCCCAGTAATTTCCCGTCATCATCTGTGGTGGGCTGGGGTTCAGAGGAGAATCTGCCTGAGCCAACCCATGGTGAGCCGACGGCGCATTGAGCAGACGCACGTCAGGGTTGGAGACCGGGCTGAACTCAGCAGGGTCTTCACACAGAGGGACGTGGCTGCCTTCTCAGAATTAACGGGGGATGTCAATCCTTTGCATTTAAATGAAGATTTTGCAAGACACACCAAGTTCGGAAAGACAATTGTACATGGAGTTTTGGTCAACGGACTTATTTCAGCTCTCCTGGGAACGAAAATGCCAGGGCCAGGCTGCGTGTTACTTTCACAGGAACTTAGCTTTCCAGCCCCTTTGTATGTTGGAGAAGTTGTTCTAGCCTCCGCAGAGGTGAAGAGGCTGAAGCGATTCGTGGCCGTTATTGCCGTGTCGTGTTTTGTACCAGAAAGCGAAAAGACTGTTGTGGCAGGCTGGGTTAAAGTTACGGTCCCAGAAACTCCCCAGCCCTGAACTGTCTTCAAAGATGCACATTCAGGGGGCGCCTGGGTGGCTCAGTGGGTTGAGCCTCCGCCTTCGGCTCAGGTCATGGTCCCGGGGTCCTGGGATCGAGCCCCGCACCAGGGAGCCTGCTTCCCCCCCCACCCCGCCTGCCTCTCTGCCTACTTGGGATCTCTCTCTGTCAAATAAATAAATAAAATCTTAAAAAAAAAAAAAAAAAGATGCACATTCAGGTGCCAGTGGTACTGTTCTAGGGCCTTTGAGGAAAAGGGATTGCTGCCCTTCCCTGAGGGATGGTTTATAGACCAAGAAGCCCGTGTTGGGGGAGGGGAGCAGGTAGAGGGGCTTTCCAAGGTCCACTGTCCAGTTTGGTTTTATGCTTCACAGACTTGAGCATATTCATCGTCTGTTTTTGAAATGGAAAAAATACCAGGAAGGTTATTTAGCCAAAGGTTTTACTTTTAGGATTTCACATGTAGTTAGATTTGCATTTGAGTAACAAACCTGCCTCTATCTGTGCAGAGTAAGTTTGTGACTGAATTTATAACTAGCATTTTTTTTTTTTTTAATATAACTAGCATTTAATTACTGAAGGCAGCAGCAGAAGTCCGGTCATCTCTGAGCACCTACCTTCTACCAGTCCGGGTACTTAGATCCTGCCTTTCAGCAGTCTCTGGGTCAGAGTTTATCGTAATTTGTTACTACTTACACCACAACGGCACCTTGTTCCATCTTCAGTGGCATTTGCCTTTCGGATGGTTTCCCCGTGATTAGAGAAGGGCTTATGTGCACGTTTGGACTCATTTATGTAAACTGTCTCAATCTCACGTATACAACAGGGATGATAACACCTACCACACAGGACCATTGGAGATGCTACGTACAAATAGCTAAGCGCAAAGTCCAGCTGCTCATCCGTTCTCCCCATGAATGAGGTTAGAGGTTTTCCCAAGTTTAGAGCAAACTAGCCCACAATTAAACAGGTGACAGACTCATTTTTCAAGATGTTAATCAGTCTAAACCTGGAATAGAGTTGGAATGCAAAATTTCTATTTTAGTAATCCAGATTATTTTCCTCCTCCCTTGAAAACACTGTGGATTCTCCCCTGTATAAATAACACATGTTTATTGTAAAGATATTATAAATAAAAAGTATAAGGAATGCTGTGGAGGCCAAGTTCTTAAGAATTGAGGGATATTGAAAATTTAATCAGTATTAAAAAAACCTTGGACACTGAAGAGGAAATGCATCTAATGTGTTCGTACTGAGTGGTCATCCCAACACAACCAACACTTTCAAGATAATCTATAACAACATCCAAATCTCTGTGACTTTATTTTTTTTATTTTTTATTTTTTTAAGATTTTATTTATTTATTTGACAGAGAGCACAAGCAGGCAGAGAGAGAGGGGAAGCAGGCTCCCCGTTGAGCAGAGAGCCTGATGCGGGACTCTATCCCAGAACCCTGAGATCATGACCTGAGCCAAAGGCAGAGACCCAACCCACTGAGCCAGGCAGGTGCCCTGCTCTGTGACTTTAGATGGTGGTTCTGATCATAGCTAGATGCTTTGATCAGGAAGATAGAGCAAGAGTCATTGATGAGATCAACCTCCATTTCCTGGGAAAAGGTTTTTCCACCTGGTGGATCGCTAACTAGATTTTTTTTTTTTTTTTAATTTTTACGTCAAGGGGATAAATTAAGCAGATTATTAGAAAAAATCATTCTAGGCACTAGAGGGCAATGATGTGTATAAATGGTATTTTTAGACCGTTGACTATTGTACCATATTCTAGTTGGTGATGGGGAGATGAAAATACTAAAATCAATGTGAGAAACAAGGATGCTGTTCTCATGAGTTTCAGAATGGGCAGCTGTGCGGCTCAGATGCACATGAAGACTTATTCATAGGGGAAGGCTACAGAAGCTAAAACTGATACAGTGTTGGGGGAAAAAAACAGAAACTTGAAGCACAAAATACAGACTCAAAGCCATGACTGTCTGTTCTCGTAGAACTCATTCTCTGGCTCTAGTAGCACTCTTGAGGGCTAGGTCCATAAATGGAGTGTGATATGATCGTTAATAATAGTAGCTACCATTTTTTCTTCAAATTTCTACCTCCCCCCCCCTTTTTTTTAAAGATTTTATTTATTTATTTGACAGTCACAGCAAGAGAGGGAACACAGCAGGGGGAGTGGGAGGGGAAAAGCAGGCTTCCTGCTGAGTAGGGAGCCCAATGTGGGGCTTGTGGGGCTTGATCCCAGGATGCTGGGATCATGACCTGAGCCGAAGGCAGGCACTTAACGACTGAGCCACCCAGGTGCCCCCATCCCCCCTTTTCTTTCCTTTTCTTTTTTTTTTTTTTTTTTTTAAGATTTTTAGAAAGTGTGAGTAGAGGAGAGGCAGAGGAAGAGAGAATCTCAAAAAGGCTGCACACTGAACACAGAGCCCGACACAGGGCTTGATCTCCTAACCCTGAGATCATGATCTGAACCGAAGCTGAAACCAAGTGTCAGACACTTAACCAACTGAGTCACCCCAGTGACCCTAAGATTTTATTTTTAAGTAATCTCTACACCCGATGTGGGGCTCAAACTTAACAACCCCGAGATCAAGAGCCACAGGCTCCACCAACTGAGCCAGCCAGGCGCCCCACTGAGCCAGTTTTCTACATTAACTCTAGTCTCTGAAAACTTTGTGAATTAAACTTAATGTCCCATTTTATAGGCAAGGAAACAGATTGATGCTGTGTGACTTGCCCAAGGCTGTACAGCCAGTATGTGGTACAGCAGGGATGCAAATGGGGACCTGCCTGGTGCCAAAGCATTTCTTTGCTTCATCTCCCTGTGGGTCTCATAACGTTCCCATTACTGGAGCACTGTCAGCTTCTGTAATAGTATCGCGTCATGTGGCATTACAGTATTTGGAACCACGATTCTATAGAATTCTCTTTATATTCAAAATGTGCTAGATCTCACTTCCTGCTACAGTTGCAGCATTTTCTTATATACTATTACTTGATGGCTTCTACCCGTAACCATCACCTACCCTTTTTCTCAGTTGATCTTCAGTGATAACTTGTCTTTAGAGCAGAATCATCAAAAGGGTTATTCTAAAGGTGAATAACCCTTTATGTGTTGGCCAAGTTTGGTGGGGAAAAGGGGAATGTCACTCCTGGCTGGTCACTGATACTGTGTAATTCAAAAGTAGTTTCTCAGTATGGCCGTTTTCATTTTTAAAATGGTCCCTGAATGCCCTAGTCTCCTTTGATCTCCATAAATCAGTACAAGGTTGGACTAGAGAAGTAGGCAAAAAAGGATACTTCTCCGTCAATGATGACTTCTTATTTTTACTCAGAGATGCTCAAGCCACTTGTGCTTTGTGAAAGCTGGCTCTAAGGGAAACTGCCTGGTGGTTGTTTTCATGTTGAGCCCTGTGGGAGATGCCAAAAAGAATGTGGCTCTTCTGATGAAAGCAGGGGTGACTCTCAAATTAGGAAATTCTCTCCGGGACCATTGAAAGGCCGCCCTGACTGTACTAGGTCACAGGTGGAGGTGAGTATGAAAGTACCGATTAAAACAGCAGGCCAAATTGTACTAGCACTTTCCACATAGGGGCATTGTAAGACTGCAATTTATGTCATGTTTGATTGCTATAGAAAGATATACCCATCTTAAGCAATTTCAGCCTAATGTACTGGAAAATTGCTTAACAGATTTTTATATTCTATTAGAAACATTTCCATATTGGTGAGATGCCACTCATTTCTTTTTCTGAGCAGCAAATCTTGAGTAGCAGCAGGAAGAAATCCTCAGCACAGCCTCCATTCATCTTGTGGACCTGACTTGCGTATTCATCTAGAAAAAGAAGAAATTGCTGTATGCACACCGGTACCTCTTAGGTAACCACAGGCCTTCATTTGGTGCTGAATTATTAGTCATTTTTCTTTTATGTTCTTCGAGTATGATTCAGAGACCAATTTACTCCCAAGGAAAATTGCTATTAAATTATGTCTATTAAGTTTTTATATTAAAACATACTCTAGCAAGGGTTGACTGTCATTTTGAGCTGCTGGGCCCCTCTGAATGCCTCATGTGTTGGCATAATTTATTACCTGGCTGTATCTGAGCAGAATGGGAGTGCTGTGAAATGACTCTTGGGTTGCAGGATCTCTCGGGTCCCAGATGTTTTACTCTCTTTGTTCTTGGCTTGCCTTCATTTGGATTACAAGCACAGCAGAGACGAGAATTCTCAACATCTTCAGAGAAATGTTGGGTTGGACCAAAATCAACTAAAAGAAACTATTTAAGTTCAAAATCCTAAGAGAACCCAAGACTGATGTTGACACTACATAAATAGAACAGGATTAATAGGAGGCCCCACAAACAGTCAATTTCTAGGCCACAATCAATTTCTAGGGTGGCTTTTAGCTGTGTATGACCTTCTTTCAAACCCTGGGCAAAATTCCTCTGTGATATGATAGCAAACATCAAAGGGAAAGAAAAATGATCAAATGTGAGTTTGATCAAATTTTATTGTTTTCTATCCAGATTATGAATATTTAAAGAAATAAAATAGGGGCGCCTGGATGGCTCAGTTGGTTAAGCAACTGCCTTCAGCTCAGATCATGATCCCAGGGTCCTGGAACAGAGTCCCACATCAGGCTTCCTGCTCAGCAGGGAGCAGGCTTTTCCCTCTCCCTCTGCCACTCCCCCTGCTTGTGCTCTCCTGCTCTTTCTCTGTCAAATAACTAAATAAATTCTTTAAAAATAAAAAAAGAAAGAAAGGAAAATAATTTTGAGTTGGGAGGCAATGCTGCTTAGGAAGCACTGAATTTTTCACAAGCTTCTGTGATTTGCTTTGTAGAACAGTTGCCAGGTCTGGAAGCAACCTCACTAAAGCATCCTCATTATCTTCAGCCTGGCCAAATGCCAAGTTGTTAAACAACCTGTGGGCCATCTACACATTTGGCAACATATAGGGATATAATTTTTTTTTTCCCCCTGCTAGCCTGAGTAGTTGTGTCTGTGGTAAAAACCAAGGTATACATAACTCACTCGCTTTGCTGGGTCTGAGGCTGGAAGCAAAGCTGATTGGATTTAGATCAGCTCTGGCCTGGGGAAGGTTTCTCCACATTCAACAGGAGCCACTTCAAAAGCTGTGACAAGTTTTGGGGCCTGGAATCCAGAAGATTTAGGAGCCAGTTAAATTCAGGATCCTCAGGGGATCACTGATAAGGCATTGATTTGGGCAGATGAAAATGAAATGATAAGGTTCACTGTAGCACTTATTCTAAGGTCCTACTTCAGGTGAGAATTTCCGGAGAAAGGGAAAGTCTGATTGAGAGTTAGTCTCTGGCTTCATTCCATCCTATATCTGATTTCTTGCTTTCAGTTTCTTTTCCCCAGTGAGGAATAGACAAGGCTGTTATTTTACAAACTTCGCAACTCGATTGTATATTATTTTTTTCATAATCATGCAAGTAAATATCTTCATTAGAGACATTTTGGAAAATGCAGAAAAGCATAAAAATGGAAGGCATTCCTTCCTAGAGACCTTCAATTGATATTTTGGTGTTTTCCTTTGTTGTTTTTCTATATAAACATGTTAAAAACTTGGGATCCTACAAGTGCACATACTGCTTTTTTCCACTCATTATTACATCAAGAGCATTTCTCAACATCATTAAATATCTTTTGATAATCTGATTTTTAATCACTGCAAAATATTCTACTTCTGATTATCCCATGATTTGTCCAATTCCCTATTGTTAGATATTCATCATTGCATGCTATTTATTTGCACTGATCTCTATTATTTCTTTAGGCTACCCTTCCAAATGTGTGATTACTGGGTGAGAACATTTTCAAAGTCTTTGATATGTATTGTCAAATCCCAGCTCCTAGCACTGGGTAAGGTAGTTATTACGTGGTAAGTACTCTGAAAATTATTGTTGAATAAATGCCTTTCAGAAAGATGGAGCAATTTATACTCCCACCAGCAGTATTTGAGAAGAGCCTTATCTTGGTCGGTCCACGTTAAGAAAGGAATCATGATTCAAGCAGAATTTCGGTTTCTGTGATTGTAATAATGAAATAATGAAATAATCAATTTGCTTTAAAGAAATGGAAGTAAAAAGTGGAGGGGCACCTGGGTGGCTCGGTTGGTTGAGCGACCAACCCTTGATTCTGTCTCAGGTCGTGATCTTCAAGGTTGTGAGATTGGGCCCCATGGCAGGCTCAGTGCTGGGCAGGGAGCCTGCTTAAGATTCTCCTTCTTCTTCTTTCTCTGTTCCTGCCCCTCCCCCTCAAGAAAATGAAAATAAAAAACTAAAATTAAAAAAGAAGAAAAAGTTGAATGGTCCCTAAATGATATATGGTTGTGTTTTAGTAGACTATTGCTTTTAAACACACGGAGACAAAAACTGAGTACTGGAATTCTGATTGTATTAGGACTGAATCATGAAGTTCCTTGTTTCCCTTTTCACATGTCAGTCTGTTGTGGCTACTTGCCCAACAATCGCTGTAAGTTCAAGATTTGGAGAGGGTATTCTTTGGATACTGTCTAGGCCTTTGCTGTCATGTCTAATGGTGGTGGTGGGGGGCAGTTACCAAGAAACTTTATTCTCTCTTTTTAAAAAATATTTTATTTATTTGACAGAGAGAGGGAGACAGCGAGAGAGGGAACACAGGCAGGGGGAGTGGGAGAGGGAGAAGCAGGCTTTCCACTGAGCAGGGAGCCTGATGTGGGGCTCCATACCAGGACCCTAAGATCATGACCTGAGCAGAAGGCAGACGTTTAATGACTGAGCCACCCAGGTGCCCCGAAACTTTGTTCTCTTGCCTAAAATGCAAAAATCTAGGGGAGACAAATTTAAGAGAAACTCTCCATTCTGTGAACTGTAGGGGAAGGAAGTTAAGCAAAAATGTGCTAAGCCCCTTCCTGTCCTACTGCATTCCACATCCTAACCTTTCCATACAGGTAGTAGTATCTCCATTTTGCAGATAGGGAGCTGGGGCTCAGAGAGGTTGGGTAACTTATTCAAGGTCACACAGTTGGTAAATACCAGAGCCCCGGTGATCCCGGTCCTCTGATTCCAAGTCTAACTCCACGTCCTGGGATGCAGCCCTTGGAAAGAGCGATGTGGGTGGGATTCCAGGGTTGGGGTGGGAGGAGAGGACTGGGTGGCAGGGGGAGTGCCAGTATTGTGACCTTGGTTTCTGAAAGACTGTGAGGGGCAAACGAGATGCTGGGAAGTTGATCTCCAAGCTCTGGGGCTCTGGGGTTGAGGTTCTTGGAGCCAGTACAATGGGACAGAAGATCCCAAGTCTGCAGGATCTTGGTTGAGAGTTTTCAGGGGTGAAGGCTGTTAAAAGAATTCAGCCAACTAAGTCTGAAGATCTAATAGACATTATTAAGTGATTCATAACTCGGGCAGGATCCCATCTAGCAAGCAGAAAGGACCTCTGAGGTGCTGTACAAAAAGGAAGGTTTTTGTTTTTGTTTTTGATTTTTTTTTTTATAGGAAGGAGGGTGGGGCAAGGACATTATTAGCAAAAGAAAGAATTATTTCAGGCAAGGTCACTTTCCCTTAGAGGAAAGGGCAGGGGGTCCTACCATGCAAATTACCTCATCTTCCCTTGGAGTGGGGGGCGTGTAAAGAGTCTGCTGGTCAGATTACCTCACTGCGGCCGCCATTAAATTCCTGACTATTAAAATTCCATTTCTGGGAGAGTTTGAAACCACATTTAGGTTAGATAGTAAGTTCTGGTTTGGTCATGTGGCCTAGCATAAGTGACTCCATTTTGGGTCTAAGGTTTTCTTTTTGACAAGGCTTTTGTGGCTGGGGCCAAGGGCGGAGGTTGGAGTCCTGGACTGAGGCCCAGCTTTTAGGATCCCCAGTTCCAAGAACATGGGTCTGAGGGTTCTGGGGTCCAAAGGCACCAACTGTGGGGTTCAATTCTGAGGACCTAGCTCTTAGGTTCTTGGGTCTGAAAAGCTAGGATCAAGGGTTCAGTAAAATCTGAATCTTAGGGACTTGTTTTAGAAAGTTTCTGGGTCTGCAGGGCTCGGACTGAGAGTCTCATCCTGAAGGTCCCTTTTCTGGCTGTTAGGCCCCTTGGGCCTGGGAGGTCTGGGTGGGAAAGGTCCAGCTGTAAAACTCTCAAGTCTGTTAGTCCAGGCTTCCAGGGCCTAAAGTGAAAAGCCCAACGTTGGAGGCTTGGTTTGGCAATCTTTGGGCCGGAGATTTCCTGGATCGCTGGGCTCAGGACGCCATGTCTTCGCATCTGAGGATCTCTGGACGTGGTGGCTTGGGGTGGAGTGTCGTAGGTCTGAGGCTGGATGCTGAGGGTACCGGGTCTGCTGGCGGCTGCGAGGAGCTTGGAAACGCGAGTCCACGGCAGCGGCTTCCGCGGTAGTATCGCGCTAGGACCCCGCGGGAGGCGACGGCGGGAAGGGCGGCCAGTGTTGACAGCGAGGGCGCCTAGACGCGCCGGCGCTAGGACCCCGCGGGCGCGGCGGGTGGCGGCGGCGCGTGGGGCGGCGCGTGTTGACAGCGGCGGCGGCGGCGGCGGCGGAGCCGGGCGGGCGGCGGGAGTCGGCGCGCCTGGTTCCTGCTCTTGGTGTCGAGGCGGTGGCGGGCGGGCGTCCGGGGATGGCCTTCATGGAGAAGCCGCCAGCCGGCAAGGTGCTGCTGGACGACACGGTGCCGCTGACAGCAGCCATCGAGGCGAGCCAGAGCCTGCAGTCCCACACGGTGCGCGGCCCGCCGGTCGGTCGGGCGGCGCGGGGCGGCCCCGGGCGGCGAGAGGGCTTCGGGCGGCCCGGCGCGGGTTGGGCAGGGTCTCCCGGCCGGGAAGCGGGGCTGGGGGTCGGCGGCCTAGGGCGGGAGGGTAGTGCCGTGGCAGTGGCTCTGGGTCAGGGGCCCCGGGGCCCTGGGGCCCAGGTGAACTCAGGTCTTCAGGGGCCGGGGGTGGGGATCTCAGCCCGCTGGGCCAAGCAGGAGGAAGGGCTCGGTGGTGCCGCTCCGAGTTGTAGGATTCCCGGGCCCACCTTGGCCAGGCAGAGTAAAGGGAACAGCCGGGACCCTCTCCTCCACTTCTGCCCGCCGCCAGCCTTCTCTCTGGGGCCGCGAGTTTTCCTCTCTTCAGCTGGGTAGCTGAGTGGCGGCGATGTGGATGTGCCTGGCCAAATCGAAGTGTGACTTTAGAGTCTACTTCTTGGGATAGCAGAATGTAAACGGCTGGTGTCTGCCGCCCCAGTTGGTGGGCAGTTGCTTGGCCTAGGCGCAGGAAGTGGAGAGGGAGGCAGTCTGGGGTCCTGCTGAGGCAGGTGTATGAGTGTGCTCCTTCCCTCCTCTAACCTGCTCTTTAGTGAGCAGTGGTAGCATTCATTTGAGTTTAAAATCCACCAGAGTAGCATAAAGGAGTAATAGGTCCTCATAGTAAACACAGACAGAGTTCATTTGTTACATATACTGTCTTTTATGGGTCTTTAAAACCAGGATTGTTTTCATTTGCCTGTACCTTTTTTTTTTTTTTTTTAAAGAACACTGTGCATTATAATTTACAAGCAGTAAACCTAGAAACCAGCAGAAAAACAGGAGCTGTCAGCCAGTAGAACTTTGTTTGGGAAATAATGAATGGGGAGAGAGAGATTCCTTAAATTGTAATGTTTTGTCAGGTCACCAAATCAGATTCCAGCTCTGAGGCTTGTTTGTTTACCATTGCAGTGTGTTTAGGGTTCATCATCTGGAGGCTAAAGCCCCACAATAGCCTTCTGTTTCTCTTTTTGTTCAAGCTGTTCTGGTGACTTCAAAGAGATCTTTTATTCTGTTGTATTAAAGTGGGACTTTTTTGAACCTCAGTTTCCTCTTCCAATAGCCGTGCTTTGTAGGGTTTGGATTGTTCAAAGTGTTCATTTCCAGTTAGGAAGATGATTATACATTTTAAAAATATATTTCATTTTCTCATTTCTCTTTAATCCTCTTTTACAGACTTGGGAGAGGCACTGTGTTGGACAGAGTTTTTACCCTTTGTAATGTATACCTGTGGGAGTATGGGTTAAAGGTTGAAATTTAGGGCAGGTAGTCAAGAATAAATTCTGCTATTAAATTAGATTTTTGACTTGACTTTTGGCACGTAAATCGTACAAACTTCCGAGGAGAAGAGTTGAGTCTTTTAGGTTTATTTTGTGTTGAAAGTAAAGAGATGCTTATAAGTACTCACAGATCACTTCTTCCAGGAAGCATTCCATGATGGCCACTGCCCCAAGCCCTGTGCTCACTTCCACCTTGACCTAGATCAGTTTATTCTGTAATCACTTCTTTAGTTTTCCTCTTTACCAGCCTATGAGAGGAGGGACAGGTGCTTAATTTTGGGTCCCAGATTCTGGTGTCTGATAGGATTTCATATGTGTTTGTTGAATGAATAAACAAATGAATTGCAACCTTACTTGCCTCTTTTTTGTTTGTGTAAAACAGTAGTGGTGAAAATTGGAACAATGTGGCATCTAAGGTGCTAAGTTAAGGGGGTCAGTGCTTCAGTAAGGTAGTGAAAGATGTAATAAGATTCCATTTCTACTGCTGAGCTTTTCTTTAAGAAATAAAATAGAGTAGAGAATGGGATGACTATAATGATGACTGATCACAAAAGATAGTGACTCACAGGAGACCCATAGAGGCAGATGTGGTGGAGTAAAAAACACTGTAGCATTGTCTTGCGCAATTTTTGACTGTTCTATGTTCTTGTCATTTTAGCTGTAGAATTGGAGAGTGGGAAATGTTGCATCAGCCCTGAACTTTATTGAGAAAATCATATGCTGATGCAGACTTTCTGGATTATTAGCACCTTATGAGTAAGTCCCTTTAAAACAGGAACTGTTGGAAATTATTTTGGAAAGAAGTAGTTGTTAGTGATGGCATATGGAAGAAAAGAGCATTGTTTTCTATTGGGAAAACTGAAGGTGACTTTCCTATTTGTCAGCTGAAGGGAGACAGTGTCCCAAAAGTCAGGGCAGTCCTCGCTCTGAAATGCTGAAAAATGGATGTTGCTCCTTGGCTGTAGGATAGAAACATACAGAGAGAGGATATAGTGGACAGCCTTTGAGTTGGAAGAGGCAAGACATTAATATAGTTTTGGGCAGACACTTGCTAGTCTGTGGACATTGGTTGGACAAGTCATAAGAAGGTTAACTTTTTGATGTGTATTTTGATGTTGTAAAGAGGGTAATAAATGCGTGCTCTGCCTGCCTTCCAAGGTTGTTACAAAGATCAGATGAAACAGTCTTTATGAAGTATTCCTAAAGGGCGTTTCTTTCTTCTTCCATCTCTTCACTTCCTGGTGAAATAACATCCAAAGCGTTAAACATGGTAAAGTGTTATTATCGTAAATAGCTAATTTCTGTCCATGGTTCCTTCCCTTTACCAAGGTTGTTTAGCTTTGGGAAACAGAATTTACAGCAGAAAATTTTAGGTTACATAGGATTTAAAATTTATGGACTTGGGAGGGAAACATTCTGTGGGTTGGAAAATACAGATGCCAGGATGGAGGGAACACAAGGTCACTGCGAGAAAGGCGTATTTGCATGAGAAACTGGCAGAGAGGGTACAGATTGGTAGATGATTCTGTTCCTGACTGTGGTTTGAATGATTTTATTTTCACTTTTATGGAGCACAATGAATTTGGCTTCAGGAAATAGACCAGGCCTTTGCCGCAAGGAAATGAAACTTCCATAAAATCCAAAGGGACTATAGTTAGGGAGGATGCTTTCAGCCCCGGTGGGAGGAAAGGGAAGGATTTTCCAAACAAAAGGAATTTGAATAAAAAGCCGTACAGGTGAATTGTGGGAAAGTTGGGGCTACTGAAGAGAAGACAAGGGAAATAGAGATGTTCTTGGTGACGTGAAAGGGAAAACTTCTAAAAATCAATAGACTGAAAAAGTGCTTACCTAGCTGAAATAGAAACCAGAGGAAACCGACAGTTTTGGAGAGGGTTGTTATCAAATATGCATATCAGGTTTTTGCTGGTCAGTGTGCTATAGTGTGCTAACGCTTCATCTCCATTTGCTCCTTTTAAAATACTCTTTTGTGGGGCTCATCTGTATCAAGGCCCATTTACTCTGCATTTGGTGCATTTTGTTCTTGAGAAACAAAAGATAATTTTAGTGGTATTTGAGGCGTAACACAATTTTTTTAAATCTGGAAAGATAATATTCCATGTTGAGATCTTTACTGAAAATAGGTCTCTCTTTGAACCTTTGATTTTTGGAAACTGTATTCTTACACAGTTTATTTATTTAACAGCTCTCATTAATTTGAGAAAAATGTGTTGGGTACCTACTGTGTGCCAGACACATACTGGAGATCTGGTGGTATGCTAGATAGCTCCTGCTTTCATTGAGCTTTTGTTCTGTGGGATTCTGAGGTCTTCTGTTTCCTGAGGTGTTGACAAGTTAGTCAGAGTCTTTACTTGTCACAACACAGTTGGTTTTGATCTTCCTTTTGTGGCTCGGATTATTGAGCCTCCACTTATTTTTATTTTATTTTATTTTTTAAAGATTTTTTATTTATTTATTTGACAGAGATTACAAGTAGGCAGAGAGGCAGGCAGAGGGGTGGGGAAGCAGGCTCCCTGCTGAGCAGAGAGCCTGATACGGGGCTGGGTCCCAGGACCCTGAGATCATGACCTGAGCTGAAGGCAGAGGCTTTAACCCCCTGAGCCACCCAGGTGCCTGAGCTTCTGCTTTTTAATCAGTGGCCTTTTTTTGGTCTTTTTCTTTTTATATTTTATTTATTCGACAGAGAGAGAGAGAGATCACAAGTAGGCAGAAGCAGGCAGAGAGAGAGGGGGAAGCAGGCTCCCTGCCGAGCAGAGAGCCTGATGCGGGGCTGGATCCCAGGACCCTGGGATCATGACCTGAGCTGAAGGCAGAGGCTTAACCCACTGAGCCACCCAGGCGCCCCTTTATATAGTCTTTTAAACTCTTTTCATACGTCCTCAGAATAAGTCAGTCAAATGTGATGCCAAATTAGCAGACCTCATTGCCTTCAGAGCCTGACATTTTAGGCAACCCAGTGCTCAAAATCGGGATCTCTCTGGGCTTCCTTTTGGGATGCTATTTGGAAGTTTCTTTACAATTCCAAGTTATACTGAATACTTTAACAAAAAAAAATTCCTTGAAGATATTTGCATAGGCAAATGCAGACCAAATGATCGTTCCTCATTTTATATGAAGATAATAAGTTTTCTTGAAATCTTTTTTGTTTTTTTTAAAGATTTTATTTATTTGAGAGAGAGTGAGAGAGAGAGATGAGAGAGCACACACAGAGGGAGAATCAGGCTCCCTGCTCATCAGGGAGCCTGATGTGAGGCTTGCTTGATCCCAGGACCCTGAGATCATGACCCAGGCCGAAGGCAGACGCTTAACCGACTGAACCACCCAGGTGCCCCTAAACTACCTATTGAAGTCAATTTTTTGCAGACTGATTTAGGGGCTGGCTGGTGATTTTTTTTTTTTTTTTTTTTTTTTTTGAGTGAGGGCATGCAAGTGGGGGAGGTGGGGAGGGGTAGAAGCAGAGAGAGAGAACCCTAAGCAGGCTTCGTGCCCAGTGCAGAGCCTGATTTCACAACCCTGAGATCCTGACCTTAGCCGAAGTCAAGAGTCAGACGTTTAACTGAGCCACCCAGGTACCCCTAGGGGCTGATGATTCTTAGTCCTCATCATTTCTTTTGAGGATTATCCCACTAGGAAGATTTT